GGTACGTTGCCTTTGTGCAGAAACTCTCTGGAATGGACTTGCTTTCTGAAAGGAAAGTTGGAAGTAGTCCTGCTGGATTTAGATGAGCTACAGGTAAGCTTGTGAGGGATTCATAACAATAATCTAGGGCTAAGAAGCTATAAGTATGTAGGCTAAGCGACAAAGTTTCCAGGTACACTGATTCTATACAGTGGAAAATAGGATGTAATTTGTCTTATGTTTACTATGTGCCAGATACAAAATAAAATATTATATATGTTACTTAAAGAGTAACAATTTTGCATGATAGGAATCACAATTCCTAATTTTAGAGATAGAGGCTCAGAGAAGTTGATACTTGTCAACAATTCATAATGCTAGGATATAATACATGTGAGAGCCAGAACTGGAATCCACCACAGTTTGATTAAAATACAAAATAAAAATGATTGGCATTTAATTCTTGTTTCCTTACATGCATTATATCTAAAATCCTTCAAAATAGGTACATTGCCTTTGTGCATAGGTACATTTCATTCACCTAAAGTCAAGCTGCTTTTCCTAAGGTCAATAATTTTTGCTTACTTCCATTTATGTTGCTCAAATTCACTTTGTCTTTGATCTCTACTAGAATGTTCACATGAAGAAATCTGAGGAACCAACGGACTTTCACAGTTGGCAGGGCAGTAAGAATTCAAGTAGTCAAGCCTCTCACTTCAGCAGCCCTAATGCCTATTACAGTTCTGTGAACATCCAAATTTGCTCTGCTGGTTAATGACACATCAGTATCTCCTGACTTCTGGTACAGGGCTTCTTTCATTAACTATATTAGTCATACCAGAGTTAAAAGAACAAAAAGCAATTCTTATCAGAATAAGATGAACATAATTCCCAAATTAGATTTTCTCATTGAAAATAAAATAAAAATAGCACCAGAATTACCATGTATTTGATTATTAAAATGACGCAGAAGTCCTTTATTTGAGATAGCAGATATCCCCAAGCAAAATGTAATGAAGGATTACTAACTATTTTATAGCTTTGATATTACATAGTTAATTACAGATTAATAGTTACCATTTACAACATCGTTGTGGTTTTAGAACTAAGGAAATAAAATAATAAAAATAAAGTAAGCTGACTTTAGATATGGAGAGAGAGAAGAAACCAGGATAGTTAGGATGGTAACTGTTAAGACCATCAGTTTTTAGTATTTTCTGATTGCAGGTATAATGCAGGGAAGTACTTAACAGCTTCACTTCTGAAAATCTTTAAATATTGGGATTAATTGGGTGTCACCTGGGACATTTTCCACAAGTAACTACAAAACTGGGCTGAAAGTGGCTTAAACAGTAAGGAGTTATTAATCTTATACAGCAAGAATTCCAGAAGCAGACGTTTCCAGAACTGGTTGATTCGGCAACACAGTATTATCATGGACATTCCAGCTTTCCACTCTGTAGTCAGCCTGTTTCCCCTCCCTGATCCAAGCAGTTCCAGACGTCCCATGAAACACAATACCCAAAACATAAGAGGCCATTTCCTTTCAGATATCTCTATTACTGAGAAAATGTTTTGAGCAGCTCCCTGCAGACTTCTCCTCCAACTCTCAATTGACCAAGAGTAGGTTAAGAGTCCTGCTGTCACAATAACTAGCAGGAGAAGTGAAACCATCATTATTGGCCTAAACAATCATTATCTACTTACTGGGGTTGAAAGAGCACAGCTTCCAATAAGGATGTGGCCTGCAGAAAGGGAACCCAGATAAAAACAGGTGTTCTTCCAAGTCAAGGGAAGTGGATTTGGGTGGGAAACAAAATTGTGCTTTAGAGAGAGCTTCTTTAGGAAGAAGGAACAACAGAACTCGTTCTACTTCTGCCTAGAAAGTTAGGAATTTTTGGTGGTAAATTGATTATTTTGATACCTGTTATTCAGAATGTAGAATGTATTACTTGAGCCTAGTCAACATAACTATCAATTTCCATTTTCATGGCAGATGAACATGTTATTATTATGCTCTGGTTAACCACTTTCTGTTGTCACGAGTTTCCCATTTGCTCTGCATACCAGTAGGACTTAGATGAGAAAATACACATAAAACTCATCTAACCTTAGTTGGGATCAAGGCAAACAAGGAGGAAAAAGAAAATGGGATTCACAGTTTTAGAAACAAGTGAAGTTTCATAAAACCAAGTGTCTTTGAAAGTAACCCAGGGCTGTAGCACAGGCTTAAAATGATTCTGTGTCCACAACCATCAGTCACACTACATGCCTCACAAAGCTAGGCATTGGTGAAGCCCAAGTTGTACTAAGTTATAAAAGCTTATGTTTCAATCTCTGGTTGTACTTGCAGAGTTCGTTACACTGAAAGCCTCAAGCTTTTCCAAAGCTTTTCAGCTCATGATTCCTGACTGTCCAACCCAAAACATCAGACCCCCCTCCCCCCAAGTCCTCTGGAGGCTCTTATTTCTACTCCCAGCCAAGCCACCATACTAGTGGCAGGTCCACAACACCACTACCCAACAGTAATTTCATGGGTTAAATTTTCCCTATATAATGGGTTTTGATGCTATTATAAATGGTATCTTGAAAGCATTTTCTAATTGATCATTGATAGTGTACAGGAATACAATTGCGATTTGTCTATTGGCTTTATAGTCTGTGACCTGGCTTAAATTCACTTATTAGCTTTAGCAGTTTTTTGGTAAATACCTTGGGATAGTCTGTATACAATCATTTCATCTGGAAATAAAGAGAGTTTTACTACTTCTTTTCCAAAAAACAAAACAAAAACTCATCTAACCTTTAGGAGAGGCCTGAGGAAGATGAGGAAGAATTTATTACGTTAACAAAAAAAGTTTACATTCATAGAGAAAGGGAACCAAACAACAGGCTCTTTCCTACAATGAAATTTTTTGAATTATAAGGCGTTAAAAGAAGATTAAGAACTGGAAGGTAGATAAGAGAATGGTGGGGGAGAGTGGGGTTTCCAGAGATGGACAGATAAAGTCAGTCAGATACTTTCACTACCAGGAAGAGCTGTTGACCTTACATTTGGAGAAGGGATAGATAGGAAAATTAGGGAGGAAGGTGGGCAGCATAAACAGGATACTGATACTCACAATTTAGGAAGTTTTATATTATTCATTAAAATACCATTCAAAACATTTCAACGTTTGCACAGTGCACCTTCAGAATAACCAATCACAGTGTCTTTCCACACAAAAATCTTTAAGTATAAGTTATGATATACAGCACAGATAGATCATCTTTACTAGCTAGTTTTAAAAGGTATGCCATGAGTTAAAAGGGCAGATTTAACAAAAATAGGTGGATGTCATTTTTTTTCTGGAATCATACCCTTTCTTGAAAACTGGAAATACATGACCTACTTAACTCTCTCCTAATTATCCAAGTTTAGTTTATAAATGTGTAATACTTCAATAAAATAAAACTTCAAGTATTTTTATAAAAGAACTTACAGGAATAAAGAGTACTTAGTTAAATGTTTATAACATTATAACATATGTAGATAACGTCACATGGCAATTCTATGTCCATAATTTCTGGCTTAAAAAAATAACAAATAAAATGGATCCTTTGTGCGTCTGACTCTTGTAAGAGTAGTTCTTACAGGTTAGTACGGAATACTACTTTGAGAAAGACTTCTAAGAACTCGCTGAACTTAATTTTCCAAAAAGAAAGCCACCATTAGATCAAAGAGCATGCCACTCTTTCTAGTTAAATACCACAAATTTTCACTTTTGAAAGTTTTGAACAAGCAGAACAATTAAAACAAAGCATCAAGAAACAGCTGAAGTTCAATCAGCAGTAGGCCTCATTTTAGCCAAACTGCTTTTGCAGTGCATTTTTCTTTTAACAATCTATCTAATTTAAAACTAGTCTAACCCCATAACTTACTTGTTTGGAAAAAATTATTAGAGTAAATGGCCCCTAATAGTTTGTTTAACAGAACTGAATCAATTTTATTACCTTAAAACACGTATTTTTAAAATGGATGAAATTTTTTTTTTTAAAGGTTAGGATTGAACGGTGTTAACATCTTTACATTAAAATACATGCTGTGAGACTATTAATATACTTGCATAATTCATACAATAATAGAAAGAGATAGTACTAATTTTTAAAAAACATTAGAGACCACAGATATTTGGTCTCTGTGGTTTGGCTTCAGGGCCGTGGAGGTAGGGGGGCCGGCGCCGGGCGGCGAGTTCCCTCTCCGGATTATATATAAAAGCAGCAGCAAACCGGATTACAGTAAAAACAGCTGAAATCATTTGAACTGCAAAGTATTTCTAATCTGACCAGGCTTAAAATGAAAACCTCATAGGAAGGCAACAGAACACTCAAGATGAATATATGACAATTCGCGAGTGTGGAAACAAAAATAACAATGAGAAATGTACAGATTGGTAGTTGCCAGAGTTGCGATTGTTGGAAAAGGGTAAATCTGAGATTTAAGAGGATTGAGTATGTCACTCCACGAAGTCACTCACTGATAAAAACCTTTGGCTTCCCTCTCCTTTGCTGTTGCAACAGTCTCCTCGCCCCCTCCCCCGCAACCCTCCACTCTGTGAAACTTGGATATTACTCTTCAATTCTTTCTGGCCAAGTAAAATATTTTAACAACTTGGCCAAAGGGGCGATCAGCTGGCCAAAGGGAAAGGGTAGTGAGGAAGCAGGGCATGGCAAAGGATACTGGATATGGACTATGAGCCAGATTACAGTCAGCAACGATGTGTCAGGAGGGATGAGCAACTCGGAATTAGAAGAGCTGAGCAGTGGTGGGGCAAGAGGGAGGGACAGGGGAGGGTCCGGGGGAAAATCCTGAACAGGGTCCGAGATGGGAGAGCAACCATGTAGACCCCCAGGACCAAGGGAGATGTGCCAAGATGAGATAGCGGGAGGGGAGTCGCCCGTAGGAGCTGCGAATGTAGCGAGTACCAGCCGGCACCCTCGCCCTACTTTTTCCTCCGGTCGGAGGAGGAGTGGCCAGTCACCTGGAATGTGCGTTCCGGAGAGACTCGATCAGACGCTGCTTCTGCTGCTGGAGGCTGGTGAGGCCACCGGGGGACCCCGCTGCGGAGGAGGAGGCACTCTTGGTCAGGGGGAAGAGCCAGCTCATCCTCCACGGGGCCCCGGGCCCGAGGCCCTAGACGGTTCTGGCCTGCTTCTCCCACCTGCTCAGCCCGGCAGTTGTCCAGCGACGGGCGAGCGGGACGGACGCCCGGGACCCAAGTGCTGGGCGACCGCGTCTTCTCTACGCAAGCCCGGCTGGGGGTCCCCGGGTCCCGGGGGACATGCTACGAATGCTAGGACTGCGGACTGCCGGGGAGCGGGAACTCGCCGCCCGGCGCCGGCCCCCCTACCTCCACGGCCCTGAAGCCACACCAGCCGGTCAGGTAGCCTCAGCGCCCAGCCTTTACCACCCCCAGCTTCCGCCCCTGCGTGCGCCGCCCCCTCTGCGTGTCGCGTCATCATTTGGCGCCCCCGCCGGGACGTACGAGAAGCGACGGCGCAGCACGGTGCGGCGCAGCTCCGGCTCCCCTTCCCCCTCGCTGGGCGAGAGGTGTCTATGGGGCATCCGCCGCCGCCGCCGCTACCGCCACCGCCGCCGGGTGCTGTCTCTATGGCGAGGAGGAGGAGGAGAAGCGCGAGCTCAGTGACACAAGTAGATCTTGCGTCTGCAGCAGACTGCGGGGAGAGGGGCGCGTTGGGGAAGTAGAAAGGGGGTGGGGACGATGAACCCCGGAGGGTGCGCGATGGCGCCAGCTGGAGCGCGGCTGGCGAAGGATAGAGCTGGGTAGCGGGTGGCGGAGAGGCAAGGGAACTGGGGCTGGGGGTTTGTCCAGGGGCTGGCGCGGAGTGATGACGAAGAGGCTTTGTACCTAGGCCTTCGATGTGGTGGGACGGAAATTGGGGGTGGAGGGCGGTGGCCTAGATCCTCAGCTCCTCGTATTCTTTCGTGCAGCAGTGCTTGGGAGTCAATCTGGCTCCAGCAACTGGTTATCTGCACCTTCGCGCTGGCTCTCTGCCAGGGAAGAGAGTTATCTATGACTTGAATGCTTCCGTACTGCCCTCTTGTTTCTCTGGGAGCCTGCAGTCCGGAGATGCTAACTCGAGAAATGAGGTCGCTGGTGCCTCTTCACTTCTGCAGGAGAGAGAGAGGTGGAGAAAAGCAGTGGTGAACTACAGGGTCTTCCCAAAGTGTGTGTTTGTGTGTGTGTGTGTGTGTGTGTGTGTGTGTGTGTAGCATAGTGGGGAGGGTTATAAAGGAGGGATCCCCTGATCTTTGGTTTCTGTTCTCAAAGCACTCGGTTACATTTGTGACTGCAGAGTTTGGGGCGTGGAGGAGTTCATAATTCCTTTTTTTGAACCTTTGTTACGATTTTTTTCCAAACTGAAAAATGAAGGAGCATTTCCTTGCTCAAGAATCAAAATGTTGGTCTGTCCTGTTATATACCATGAAACCAGTGTATATGGGCCAGAAACGTGAGGTGGGTGTGTTTGGTAACCAGGGAAAAATGCTCTAATTTTTATGAAATTAGAAACCATTAGAAATGCCTTTCTCCCTCCTGCATTTATGGGCATTCAGACAAACTGTGTCTGTTACTTATTTCTCAGAAAGATCCTTTTTCTTTTTTCTCCCTTAAGTAGGTCCCCTCTAAACTGGCTTGAATAAATGCCAATAAAGGAGATTTTGTAATTAGATCAGATTTTGGATGTTCTGTTAATGAGGAATGAAAGCAGACATTACTTCTGTTTTAGTAACGTGATCTCACATGGGTGTTGTGATCAATTTTTATTCAAAGTAAGCTGAATTTAGAGCAGTCTTTAATTAGCGGGAAACTATCAGTATGTGCACATTAAAGACACTATTTTTGTTGTAGTCCTAAACTTGATTTTCTTATGAATCAAGGACTTTGAATAAATAATCTCTTCAGTGTCTATCAACTCAAATTATTCTATGATTCTGGTTTCTGGTATAGCTGGATATTATTTTGGTTATTTTGGCAGGTACACAAATAAAGGATAAAGTATTTTATGAAACAGATCTTCAATCAAGTATAACATTTTGATGCTTGGCAGCTAGACTCCTTGTGCCCTCACTATGCCAGCAGCAACAGTAGATCATAGCCAAAGAATTTGTGAAGTTTGGGCTTGCAACCTAGATGAAGAGATGAAGAAAATTCGTCAAGTTATTCGAAAATATAATTATGTTGCTATGGTATGCCTATGATCAAATATCCTTAAAATGCTTCTTATAAAAAGGGAATAGGGATTTTAAAAGTCTTAAAATTTAGAATAAACCCTTCAGGTTTATTTTTATTTATTTTAGGGATTAATATAATCATAAAGATAAAATGTTGTCAATGTCCTCCAACCAAAGTCCACTAGAAACATACCTGTAATGTGACAAATTGGGTTTACTACTTATTGGAGTGAGGGAAAATGCATACACCATTGGAAGAAACTTGTGTCAGGTGGTTTTAGGTAGGGATTGAGGAAGCTGGGCTTTGTGGGAACTTGGGGTAATTCTATGATAGGGTATCTTAATAAAGTATTTTGTTTCCCCATTGATTTTGAGAGAGAGAGAGAAACATTGATTTGTTGTTCCACTTATTGTGCATTCATTCATTACTTCTTGTATGTGCTTTGACCTGGAGATCGAACCTGCAACCTTGGCATATTGGGATAGCGTTCTAACTGAGCTGCCCTAACAGGGCATTAAGTCTTAACTAGAGTGAAAGAAGTCTAGAGTAAGTCCAAAGCTATAAAGAAGCAACAGTCAGTCATTAATCAAGACAGAAGGATGTTTGGTCATTTTCGTGGTTTGGACAGTGTTTGTTGCCTATGTTCAGTCATGACTGCAGAGTGACCTTGTCTGAGGTTGAAGTGTGAAACTTTATATTCAACAGAAGAACATTAGGACCTAACTACAAGTGCCAGGTCAGCTCCTTGCAATACTAAAGCCTAACTGATAATACCAGATGGGCTCCCATAAGCTAGGAAGCTCCTGGATGTCTTCCTCCCACAACAAAAAAAATCAGATCTCCCAGTGAAACATTGTTGATCTGCAGTTTTTTTGTTGTTTGGTGTTTAATATTGGTTTTTAAATTATCAGTGGAGTTCCGTGAACACACTGTGCCATTCAACATCTCTACTTTTGCATATACTATTCAGTCTGCCTAGACTATCTTAGTTAATTATTGCACTTCTTTACTACTATATCTTGTACATCTGTTATAGCTATTCTACTGCTTTGTAGATAGCTTTGTGAAGCAAGGGGTTAGTGTCTTAATATTCCTTTGTCCTTTCAACACCTAGCATAGTACAGCACATCCAATAAAGTGATTATTGAATTGGATGAATTCAGAGAAGTTTTTGTTTCTTTACTGTTTATAGTGACTTGGTATTTAGATTTTCTTAGCTTCCTGAATTTGAATTTTAATACTAAACTGATGCATCATTTTCTCAATATATATATATTTTTATTGATTTTAGAGAGAGGAAAAGAGAGGGAGAGAGATAGAAACATCGATGAGAGAGAACATTGATTGGTCGCCTCCTGCATGCCCCCCACTAGGATCGGGCCCACAACCTACGCATGCGCCCTGACTGAGAATAATAACTTTCTACAGGATTAGTGGGTGGCATGCAATTTTTGATGACATGATTTCTCTACAGTATAGAGAGAGTGCTGTTTTAGGACAAGAAATTAGGAGGGTTTGATATTCATACAAACCTTGCCTGAGAAATGCGATTAGAAAGTATAATGCATTTTCCATTCTTTCTGACCAATTCTCTATTGGTTTTAACATTAGAATAATATAGTTTCACATACCTCTTAAAAAACATCAATTTATGATTTTTTTTTCTTCTTCCTTGGGAATAGAGTGCTTGGTTGAATTTATACTACATATAAATAATTTTTTACTGATTATATTTAAAGTAAGGAAAACTCTATTAAGGTTGTAGAGTTTCATTTTATGGTTCCAAAAAGTATTACCCTTTTTTGTTGAAAGGTATTTGTAATATGAGTATGTAGAATATCCTATATAACAGAATTATTTGATTTGTACCAAAAATTGCTTATTTTATTGTAGAAATTTGTGGACTGTGATTTTTAGTAAATAATGAATTTTAAAACTATTTTACAGGACACCGAGTTTCCAGGTGTGGTTGCAAGACCTATTGGAGAATTCAGGAGCAATGCTGACTATCAGTACCAACTATTGCGGTGTAATGTAGACTTGTTAAAGATAATTCAGCTAGGACTGACATTTATGAATGAGCAAGGAGAATACCCTCCAGGAACTTCAACTTGGCAGTTTAATTTTAAATTTAATTTGACGTAAGTGGGAAACAAATATGACCTGAACTTTTTTTTTAGTTTAATTTTTAGAATTGATTTTCCTCAAGTATAGTGTGAAATTCTAACTGAATATGGCATGTTATCCTGGAAATACTTAGATTTTACTAAAATTTCAAAGGTTAGATTTCTTCTATATATTATAGGACCAAAAAAAAAAGAATAAAGAAGACTCTTAAATTCATGTATTTTAAATTCTAAAAATGTTATCTGAAAGGTATGACTGCCACCTTTTTTTGAAATTTGGAAAACTTCAGGTATTGAAAATACTTCTTAGTAGGAAAAAATAACTAGAACATTAGTTTCACTTTCAAACCTTGTGTACAATTTGAAATATGTACATCGTTGTAATAGTTGTGCTTATTATAGAGAGATTTTTATTACAGTCATACTCCAGTTTATGAGTAGATTATATGTCAAAAGTGGTAAGATAATTTCTTGGAAACGGGTGCATTTTCCTGTCAAATCAATGTTATATAATGGTCATACTCCCATGTCAGTCCACAAAACCTTTTATAACTTACATACAGGAGAAGTAATAGTGTCCAGGTGTTTTTTTTTTAGAAACAGTTCAGAATCTGGCAAATTGTCTTCCAGAATCTGAATTCTAACTCAAGCCCTGGGTCAAACCCAGTTTCCTTATTTGTAATACTTCTCTGTCATTGGTAGGAGTGGTCATACTAGCTTAGGGAAATTCAGATTGTTTGGGCCAATGGCAAATTGTTTACACACTGACTGTTGGAGAAATGTTTAATACGTTAAAAATATATTACAGCCCTGGCCAGTTTGGCTCAGTGGTTGAGCATTGGCCTGTGGACCAGAGAGTCCTGGGTTCAGTTCCCGCTAGGGGCATGTACCAAAATAAATAAATAAATATATATATATATATATATATATATATATATATATATATATATATTACAATATTGCAGTGTTTTATTTGACAGCCTGTACTTATGTAATATGATGTAACATCTGATTTATGAAATAGTAAAAGAAGATGTGGGACAATTGATGGTAGTGCCAATGTACGAATCTCCGATTCTCTGTAGAATAATGTGAAATTTAGCAGTTAAGATTTAAAGAAAAGCAAGGCTGACAATTTTAGAGGCTGCAATAGGATGGCTTATAATTACATTGTGTTTAGCCTGGCTCCCGGTTTTACTCTGTTGGATTTAAAAATGTACTCTTCAGAACCTTTTAAAGGGCAAAAAAATAACTTGTGTCTATTCAAACAGACTTTACAAGTACCTTTTACAAGTACTGTAGTTCTGAAACCCAGAAAATGTCTTCTTAGCCTCTTCCCAAAAGAACACTTTTTAAAATTATTTCTTTACCATTTCATTTGTTCCCTTCTACTTTTTTTTAAACTGGTCATTATTAGAACATTGTTTTTAATTAAGATACTGTGTGATCTCTGTACATGAGAAGGAGGTGACCTGTCAGAGTTTAGTTTTGATAAAATTGACATTTTCCTTATCTAGAAACATCTTTGTTCTAATAACAACTGCTTTGTTATTACAGTCTCTGAAAGATATTTTTGTCATAGAGAGGGCTACTGTAGATTTGCTAAACCAAATGTTGCTTCCATTTCTACTAATGTTAATGTTTTGGGAGATATTTAAGGCTAAGGATATGGTGAAAAATATTATTTAAGTAGAAAAGATCAATTGGAAGATAGAACCGGTACTATCTAATGTGGAGACAGAACACCATGAACAGAATCTTGTTTTTTTTTTTTGTTTTTTTTTTTATCCTCACCCGAGGACATTTTTCAGTTTTTTTGTTCAGATAGAGTGGGAGGGAGGGAGGGAGGGAGAGAGAGAGAGAGAGAGACCTTGATGTGAAAGGGACACATCGAGTGGTTGCCACAGCATGACCCAACCAGGGTGGGGGACAAACTGCAACTGAGGTACGTGCCCTTAGCGGGAACCGAACCTGGGTCTCTCTGGACTGCAGGCTGACGCTCTAACCGCTGAGCCAAACTGGCCAGGGCAGAATCTTGGATATTTTGAAGGAGGTTGAAAGTTCACTTTTTATTAGTGCCTACAATGAATGTGTGAGCAGCTGTGCTAGGCACCAGGGATATAGAATTGAGGAACATTGAACATGGTCATTTTAACTTAGTGTTCCCATGATTCTTCTGTCTGCTCCCTATTGCTCAAGTCCAAGAATTAAAATCGTTAGATACTGATCAATATATGAGCATTCTCTCCAAGCTGAATTTGGAGTTGATATGTACATGAAAATTGAAATGGGATATTGATGAGCTGTGAAGAAGAAAAGAAAGTCACGGGCAGAAGTCAAAAGAGATGAGAGTGAATTTTTTATAAAGAGTCATCAATTTGACGATTACAGTAATTCTTGATGTTGGGAGAATCATTTGCACAGGGTGGTAAAGGTTGCAGGGGGCCGTGGCTTCAGTAGCAACAGAAAGGAAGACTTAGGGACGTGGCAGTGCAGGGAGATAGTGCCATTGGTGGAAGGGACAACAGAAACAGGGTGGTCTGTGTTTACTGATAATGCACAGGCACTGGAAGGTTCAAATGCACAGCTTTGTCAGTTACAGAGCTGCAGACTGTTCAGGTTGTCTTTCATAGCTTTTTGTAGATTTGGGGGCATCTGTGTTCTTATCAGTTTGGGTTCATTAATTACATTTGGTAACCATCTGCACATGTGACCATCTATAATCCAGTTTATTTGCATGTATTTAAACATAGTAGTATACATTTTTTTTTAATGTAAAATGTGTGGTGAGCCAGGGGTGCACTGAGGTTGGAAAGTATTTCTAAATTGTAAAACCTCTAATCTTCATGTTTAAAAATGTGTGGTAGGCTAAGTTTGTATTTGTAGGTGGAGGTAATTTCAATACTCACTGAATTTAGCACACCTAGTTCAGTTAGTTTCTGACTTCAGGATATTATGTAAGACAGCCTTGTATCTCTGCATTTTGGAAAACCTTTATTAGAGATCTATACATGGCTTTCATTTCTGTTCCGTTGTCAGAACTGGGTATTTTGTGACCATCAGTTTCAATAGTTGATTAGCGTTAAGAGTGATCACGTTACTATTCATTGTTCTGAACAGACTGATCTAATAATGAGTAAGCCAGCTCTTGCACCTATAGCAATTCTAATATAAACAATATTTTAATTACTTCTTTGAGATTCACATATTTTAATATTTTCCTACATTTGCTAGGACTTTTGAGAGTGGGAAGGCAAGGTGGAATGATTTCAGAACTTGAAATGGACACCATGGAAAAAGTGCATTCTACTGATTTAGAGAACGGAGTCAACAATTACGGAGTTTCCCTTACCACACAAAGTGTTTTTAATTCTGTTTGGAGATATAGTTATCTTACCTGGAGGGGTTCCCAGCTTTCTCTTTGTAATTACATGGGTGTTATAAAGCATGGAATTCGTTCCAAATGATAAAATATTTAGTCCAGTGAAATTTAGGTGACAGTGCATTAACTTACCTGTATTGAGCTATGTGAACTATGCAGGAAAAAAAGAAATAATTTATATACATATTTTTGATTACCAACTTATTTGATCATAAATTACCCGAGGGTAGTCATCCAGGTCTCTCTCCTGAGGACTGGGATTCCGTGGGTCTAGGTATGGGACCTAGGAATCCATATTTTTGGTAAGCTCTCTGGATGCAGCACTCACTGTTCCACGTCACATGTTTTTTGATCTGGTGATACAACATTGAACAAAACAGATAAAAATGTTTGCCCTCTTAAAGCTTACATTCTGATTAAGAGATGGTAAACTAAAAGCAAGCATATAGCCAGAATAATGTGAATCTGGAGAAAGAATCTTTATGCCTTGGGTTGCTTATAATTGCTGAAACATGTCTCCCTGTGTGAGCATCATAGGCTGATGAGTGGGATTGTAGTTGTTTAAGATACAGATTTTTAGTACAATAAGACCAAATATCTGTTGTTTAATGAAAAAAACTTGTATTGGGTTTATTCAGATATCCTTTCTGAAGAGGTTTCCAGGGGAAGTTTAACAGTGATTGTTGTAGTTTCCCTGATCTTAATTATTTCAGTGGCTAGTTTTATTTTTCAAAGACATTTGGAAACAGATTGATTTCCATAGACTAAACCATAAGAATACATTTTGGCTCAAGTGTGATGTTCCTTTCAGTATAATTAGTTTTGTTAAAGCTTTTAATAGGATTGTCTTTTGCTAAATGATGTGCAGCAGTGTTCTTACAATTTAAAAAGTAAGTAGAAAGACAAATCTAATGGCAATGCATAAAATACTTTTCATTTACTCTCAGAAACACATACTTCTATTTTGATTACTTATTTTTTTGGATACCTGTGTGTACTTAGAGAGTAGAGATGGCTTTTTTTCTGGCTTAAATAAAGTCTTGAATGATTGGTTTATATTTAGATTTTCTGGCTTGATTTTTGGAAGGTAATCTTCTAGGATTAAGATTGTTGGAAGAAGAAATGATTGTGGTTATAGCAGAAGCCTTCTTTTTAACCAGTTTACTGCTCACTGGGGCCATTTGCAATGCTGATTATTAGTGAGAGAGGAGACATCTCCTTTTTCTTTAATACGGAATGTCGTTTAGCTCAGCCACATCAGATGTTTTCCACGTGTTTCCTTCTGTGGTGCTGCTGACAGTATGGTCGAGGAGCACAGGCCCTCGCCCCTGTGGCTACGGCGGCATCTGCAGCATTTACATAGCCACGGAGTCTGAAAGCCCTGAAAAGAATGTCTGTTACTTTGTGGTGCTAGTCCCTGGTGAGTAGAAGACTATTTCTCAAACCCAGTTAAATTTATTTAACTTTGGAAAGGCTGGTCCATAGTAAAGATTAAAATCTCACCACTGGACTGTTTTGAATGAGTAATATGTGCACACTTTTCTGAAATAATGACCTTTATGTTTAAAATGTATTCTTTCCATGTATGTGAAACATTAGAACAGTTGAACCTAAGCTGGTCCTCTTTCTTGTTTGTGGCATTGTAGTTGCAAGTCAAGAAAAACAGTTTGTTTGAATGTTGTGTTTTTTCTTCTCCTGCCAGGGAGGACATGTATGCCCAAGACTCTATAGAGCTACTAACGACATCTGGTATCCAGTTTAAAAAGCATGAGGAGGAAGGAATTGAGACCCAGTACTTTGCAGAACTTCTTATGACCTCGGGAGTGGTCCTCTGTGAAGGGGTCAAATGGTTATCATTTCATAGGTAAAGAGATCGCATTAAAAATGTGTTTTTGCACACAAAACCTCACACTGCAACAGTAGTTTTGAGTGAAGTGCTTAAATTAAAAAAAAAGCAATAAAGGGGAAGAGAGAAACAAAACAAGAAAATGGCATGTGTGTTACCATTTCCTAGCTGTTTCCCACTTGACTTGGGTCACTTTCAGCACTTTCCGGCTTAGTTCCATAAAGAATTGGTTGCCGTATAGCAGTCTCTTTTCTCCTAAGAGAGTTTTGTTGGTCTACTTAAAGTTTTGTAAAATGGGATACATTTTAGCCCTTGAGAAACTGCATAGTGGAAAGGGTACAGGCTGGAAAAATAGACCTTGGTTTAAGTCCAGTGATACCATTTGGAATCTGTTACCTAAGGTTATTTAACGTTACCTAGCCTGAATGAAACCATTCACTCATTAAAAAATATTTATTATCACCCTGGCCGGTTTGGCACAGCAGTTAGATCGTCGGCCTACGGATCAGAGAGTCCCGGGTTCGGTTCCCACTAAACACATACCTCGGTTGCAGTTTGTCCCCAGCCCCGATTGGGGTCATGTGGGTGGCAATCAGTCTATGTGTGTCTCATATCAATGTTTCTCTCTCTCTCTTTCCCTCTCTCTCCCTCCAGCTCTATCTGAAGATAAATGCAAAAGTGAGGATAAAAATTAAAAAATACTTATTATCTACCATATGCCCTGCACTGGGATAAAATTCTAGGAATTGAGGCATAAACAATACACTAAAATGTTCGTCCTCATAGAGTTTACATTCTAGTGGGAGTAGGTTCACGATTTCTCCAAATGACGAAATTTATATATGGTTTGTTAGATGTTAATAAGTGCTATGGAGGGGGGAAAAAAGCAAAGAAAATGCTAGGGGTTGGTGTGTGGTAGTTAATTTTTGTTTTTAAATGATCAGGATGGCATCATTTAAAAGAACTGTCTTGCAGAATTATTTTAATGATCAGCAATGACATTTAAATCATCCAGTAAATGGTTTCTTTACTCACAGTAAATTCTCAGCAAACAGTAGTTTAAATCTTTGTTATTATAAAACTAGATTGTTGAAGAGAATTTCTAGAAAGGACATTAGTTTCTATTGTAAAAATAGGCTTCAGGTAAGAGAAAGTTTTCCTATCTAAGTAAAATAAGTTAAACTGGCAGCCCAAAGACTAAATGTGGCCTTGGGTATGATTTTATTTGGCCTTTTAGTTATTTTTTTAAGTATTGTATTTTGCAGGTGTTAATGTTCTTATACTCGGTCAACTTCATACATTAAAAAAAAAAAAGTCTCCCTCGTTTACCATTTGCAGCTCTGGCCTATGGAATGAGTATGGGAAAGGACTGTGCACGTTGTAAACTGTAGCAGCACTAAGCAGTAATTTTAAGTTGGAGATACTAAACATACTAATTCTTACCTGTCATCTTTTCTCTCTGTTCTCCTCCACTTGAACCTGTACCTCAGGAAACAAGACTTAAGTCTCTGAATTTGAGGAATGTTTTTGAGTTTTGTTTTTTTTTACTTTCCTGGTCAGAAGTATACAAAAGAATGGGAAAGAATTGTCCCATCCTTTTTTATTATTGTTGAAAGTATTACAGATGTCCCTTTTTTCCCCCACCATCCTTTTACTATATATAACATGGTCTTTCATTCAAAGAATTCTCTGAGCAAATACCGTGTACTAGGCACTGGGGATATCAGGGTAAACAGAAACAGTCATGTCGTCTTACAGCAGTGGTTCTCAATCTTCCTAATGCCGCGACCCTCTAATACAGTTCCTCATGCTGTGGTGACCTCCAACCATAAAATTATTTTTGTTGCTACTTCATAACTAATTTTGCTGCTGTTATGATTTGCCGTCGGAAATATGTGTTTTCTGATGGTCTTAGGCGACCCCTGTGAAAGGGTCATTCGACCCCCAAAGGGGTCGTGACCCACAGGTTGAGAACTGCTGTCTTAGAGTTTAGAGTCTAGATTAGACTCTGATGAAATCTGAATACTTGTCAAGATATGTTAAGATTTTATTCTACAAAAATGTTATTAAATATTTTCTTCATATTATAATCTATTTCTAGAAGATAAAGACTAATTTAAGAAATTTATAAATCCTAAACTTGGGTATAATCTCACTTTTACTAGTAGTAAGCAAATGCTGTATTGACTTACATTTTAGTAGACAGCAGAGTACATCCTTGTCAACTACCAGACATTTAAAGGTTTCTGTTGTTTTATACCTTGATATTACTAAGTGGTCTTCAATGGTAAAGCTTTTTTTCTTTTTTAGATTAGAAGTAAAATTCTGAATATTAACTAAAAAATTTTTTGTATCTTCCCTAAAAGATATGGTAATAACATCTCTCATCAAATGTTGCGTTCCAACTATGTGCAATAAAGAAAAGATTTTTTAAATGTTGATTCCTGCCTTTTAAACTAGTGGAGCAAACAATACATGCATTTTAAAGGATAGTACAAGAAAACAACTTGTGTAACAAATCTGTGGGAGCTGGGCTTTTCAGGGAAGGCATCTGTAAGTGTCCTTGAAGGAAACATAGGCAGGGAAAAGAGGTGTGTCATTGTGGTCCGGGAGTGTAGGGAGTTGTAAAGCTGTGGGAGAAGCCAGACAGCAGGCACAGAGGTTGATTTCGAGAGTGTGTATTTTGTATTTTGTCCCGTAGGTAGTTGTCAGCCTTTGCTGCCTTCACTTTTCCTGTGCAGCGTTCCCATTAGTATCTTTTGGGGAGCCATCAGGCCACAGGACAGAAAGAGTTTTGAGGGAAGAGAGCACTTATTAATAAGTAAAGGAAGTGAGTATACTTTGGTAGGGAATTAACTCTTTGGATTTTTGAAGTATGTGACCTCTATGCACAAGATGGGAAGATTGATTATTTTTATCTTCTACATACCAGTTCTCTTGCTACCTTTTGACATTTTTGGCCAGCTTTCCATTCATCTTTATTTCTTTATTTCCATAGTTACTTAAATTTTTTAGACATCTACTGTGGGCAGTTTGACACTCTCCTTGAAGAGATCTCTATTCAAGGATCAGCAGAAGAGTAGTGAGTGACTACAGGTTGGGATGTAGTGGAATTCTGCACATTGAATCTGAGTGATGAAGTGACAAGGTCTGCGTAAGATAATGACATTTTCCCACTAACTGAACATGTTTTCTGGGTTTTTTTGTGCACTTTCTTTTTTTTTTTTTTGGTAGATTCCTTTTTGCCTACAGTGTGATTCATTTAAAATACCAGAAAAGGTTTTTCATCTTTATGGTATTTATGGTTCCTCTTCTGTATTCTTTTAACCCTTTTGTAGTGGTTATGACTTTGGCTACTTAATCAAAATCCTGACCAATTCTAACTTGCCTGAAGAAGAACTTGACTTCTTTGAGATCCTTCGATTGTTTTTTCCTGTCATTTATGATGTGAAGTACCTCATGAAGAGCTGCAAAAATCTCAAAGTAAGGCTTCCAGCGGCTTTATCGGTAATCAGCACACAGTTCAGCCCCAGTGCCTGACATAGGATCCTAAGCTGGGATGTTGATTCACACCATATTTTTTAGTTTTATATTAAGTGCAGTTATATCATCTGGTCATTTGATTCTTTTTGCATAAATAATGCTTTATACGAAATCCTTTTGCAAAGCTTTATATATTGGCAGAATAAGTTTTCAGTAAAGTTCAAACCAAGGATCAGACTTTTGTCATTGCTTGCCAAATTTAAAGTCATAAACCAGCACAGAAACTGAGGCTTTCATGCACAGAAGTGCAAATGCTCACTCTCCCAACATGCACGTAATCTATTCATGCAAGAGAATCCAAGGGGCCAGCAGTGTGCAGATGCAGTCGGTGAGCAACAATCTCTCCTTCAGCTGGTCTTGGCTAGAGACCATGTTGGGCCTAGCCATCGGATCATGTTCCAGGGATTAAATTACAAAACTGAAAGGGTTTTGTTTGTTTTTCCTGGCCCAAAGATGTCGACTTGTTAGTATCAAGTGCTCTAGTAAATAAATGTCCTACCTGGACAGTATCTTACATTCTGACACTGCTTAACGTGTATAACTTGTTACTTTTGAACATTGATTTTTTTCAAAAGAAACGTTTCTTTAATAAGGAAAAGTGTTCCTTTAGTTTGAGAATGAATTCACCTATGATGGTACAGTCTCCTAAGGAATACAGTGTTTTATTGTGTCAGGTATATTTGTATTTGAGCTATAAGAAAAATTTTTTTAAAAACCACTTGGTAAAGTGGTTGCTTCAGAGAACCTATATCAAGTTTGATCAAATTTTCTTCTCACCAGGTTTTTAGAAGTTTGGTTATGTTATTCTTTTAGGAGATGGTAAACATTTTAAGAGCATTACTTTTACACAGAAAGAAATATTTTAGGAATTAAATAGGAAACTTTGCTTTGACAGATGAACCAAAATTCGTAAGAGAAATAGACTTTTGGCCAAAGTCAGCTTGCCTCATCATAGGATACGGCATATCACCAGGGAAATTTTCAAGGAAGATTATTTCATGTTTGTAGCACCTAAGAGCAGCAGAATTCTGTGCAATATGAAGAGACTTCCAGCTGTGTGACTCAAGTGAACTTGCAGTAGGATATCCTTACTAAGTATATCCAATACTCTGAATATACCGAGTGACCTGGTGTGTGAAAATTCACGTTCATGACAGCGGTGCTTTCTGTCTCCAGCCCACCATACTGAATGACCCTGGTCCTTGCTCTCCTAAGCAGCTGCTAATGGTACCTAATCCTCAGGCTATTTATAGCTCATAAGCAACTGCTCTCCAAAGCCCTGTCTGAAGCTGTGGTAAACAAGGACTGCTTTGCTGGTAGAGGCCTTAACAATTTAGAGAGGAATTTCTGTGTGTTTGTGTTGTTTTTCCTGATCTTGCTTTCCTTTCTTTACTATCTCTCCTCCCATTGTCCCATTATTATTCTTCCCTCCCTCGCTACCATCCTTTCCTCCCTTCGTCTTTCCTTCTCTCTTTTATGCCCTTTCTTTCCTTTTCACTCTGATCTTCCTTTTTTAATCCTAGCATTATTAACATAGACAGATTTTCAGCAGACCCGTCTCAGGAATTCTGTTATGAAAAGTTTTTTCTTTTTAAACAGCAAAACCATAGTTAAGCACTTAAGATGTGATTAGTTGTAATAGCTGTGGTTTTTACAAATTATTTAGATGAAACTAGAGATAGATTACTGAGAAGCTTAAGGCAATCTGAAAGTAACTACCTGCAGTTGGTTTTGTAACAGTTGATCAATGGAAGGACGGACTGTGCATATACTCGATAGTGTTACCCTATCCTGTTACCTGCTTCCCCCATATCTTTAGAAAAGTTATTTGCCTGTCACATGCCTTAAGGCATATGATAAAGATAAATTTACTCAATTAAGATCTAATTTTCTATTAAATTTTAAATTTCACCCACATTCAACAAATACATTAGTAATTCATGTTCTCTAGTGTTTTCCGTCTTCATAAGGTCCATGTATACATTCTGAGATTTATTTATATTTTGGTTATTGTCAAGTTAAATAATTTGTGAATTCGGGCATTGCAACATTTCTCTCTTGACAGACATTTTTTTCTGTCTTCTAGGGTGGTTTACAGGAAGTTGCTGAACAGTTAGAGCTGGAACGGATAGGACCACAACATCAGGCAGGATCTGACTCACTGCTCACAGGAATGGCCTTTTTCAAAATGAGAGAAGTATGAAGACATCAGTGCCTTTTCTCAGTTGGTTATTAGGTTGAGAACATTAAAGATCTTATGGCAAAGTTTTGGGGCAATAAGTACTCATTAGATGAAGATGTAATTAGAGGTACCATATAAGTCATATCTACTACACTTGAATGAAAGTATTTAAAAGTAAGTCGTCTTGAAATGTAGTTCAGAAGGAAATATGTTTGTTGGAGATGAAAAAATTTAAACTACCTTAGAAATCATGTAGGTCCAACCATATTTCTTTTTCTTTTTAATTTTTTTAATTCTCACCCAAGGACATTTTTCCATTTTTGTTCAGATAGAACTAGGGAGAGAGAGGAAAAGAGAGAGATAGAAACATCTACATGAAAGGGACATATCAAGTGGCTGCCTCCTGCACAACCCCATCCGGGGCCAAGGACAAACTGCAACCGAGGTACGTGCCCTTAGCGGGAACCGAATACGGGTCTCTCTGGACCGCAGGCCAACACTCCAACCGCTGAGCCGAACAGCCAGGGCACAACCATATTATTTCTTAGGTGAGAAAACTGAGGCCAGAGACTGGTACCTTTTCTCCAAGGTCACGTACATTACTAGTGGGGGAACTCCAGAGCTCTCTGTAGACCACATCAGTGCTGCTTCTGCCAAGTCAAGAGGTCTATTCATACATTAAGATTCCTCTGGTATTGTCTTGTCCTAGGCATTAAACTGCTGGTAAAAATGTCATTTGCTTATTTCATTCTTCAGTACTTTGAGGATTTATAGAGTAGGACTTGTGCTTTTTAGTAGATTGAGTCTTACCCAGAGATTTCTGAATTCCAAAAGAGTTTAAAAAATCTGAAGTAGTAGTTGAATAAAAATCCATATTAAGCAGACCCTCCTTAAGTAGTAAAAGGCAGAGATAAAGAAGGTGAAAGAACAAAATTTAATGAACACGAGTCTACCTTTAAGTGATACATACAGGTATGCCTTGGTGTAGGTACAATGCAAAGAAAAACAGTTATTTGTGCAAAAACACAATAGAATGGACTTTTTTGGGTATCAAAAAGTTTTTCTTTTTGCAAAATATTTACTATAAAATTATTTTGACATCCTCTTAGACATTAAAGAGTTGACTAAGAAGTCTTTTGGAAATTAAAACTTTATAGAAATGTATTAATAATAGAAAACATAATAGCTGTTTTGCCATGTAGTTTTTTGCCAAGTGATTTGGACTGTTCATGAAAGTAAATACTTTTGTATGTCTTTCCAGCGCTACATTAGGGAATGAAACAACCTTTTGGATGTTCAGCTTTGCATTTTAAAAATAGTTGAATTAATGGCAGATTCTCTGCTACTGATTCATTACCTTTACTCTTCTTGGCTTCTTTAAGGATAGTAACCAAGTGTGAATGTTCAGATTTTACTGTCCAGAACACGTTTAGGCTTTGATTGTTGTTAGCCAAATTAGCTTTGCACGTAGACTCAAGGCTAATCATCTCACTCACACACACACACACACCACCACCACCACCACCACCACCATTGGTATCGTTGAGTATGTTCAATTCATGGAATAAAAAGGTCTGCCATTTTTCCATGATTACAGATTCTTGTGAAAATGGTCTAAATGTTAAAAGGGAAGATGTGTGTTTGTACATTTTTTATTAGTCTTTTTCTTTGGTTTCTTTTGAGCTCTACTTCTTGAGGACCTCAGTCTTGTTCATTGATTTTAATGTGTGGCTCAGGAGCATTATAGGAAAGAGCTGTCATAGTTGATGAACAGTCAGTACTTATGTTGCTGAAATATAAATTATCAGTGGTACTTTTTGGTTAAAATTTCTTTTTTTTCCAAAATTCCTTTTTAGATGTTCTTTGAAGATCATATTGATGATGCCAAATATTGTGGTCATTTGTATGGCCTTGGTTCTGGTTCATCCTATGTACAGAATGGCACAGGGAATGCATATGAAGAGGAAGCCAACAAGCAGTCATGACATGAAATAGTCCTTTTATTTTTATTTGAGCTATACACATGCTTGTATATAGGTTTTATCTCTTATTGAATCCCTTGAACAATAGACAGTACTATTTTTTTCTTTCATAGCTCATTTTACTTTTTGTCTTTCAGTACTAAGTATGACCATTCCTGTCTCAGAGCTTAAATAGAAAAGCATTCAGGTTCAATTTGGCCTTAACTTGATATACTTGTTAGCAGGCGTGTGTGACAGAGTGGGAAAGCTGCATCATATAAACTTGACCGACTTGAGCTTGGTTTGTGTTTTCCCTTTCCTAAATTAACTAGCACTGACTGTAATTTATTTCCCTGTTTCATGTCTCCCTTCCATCTTGCAGAAGTTTTAGCTATTTGAGAGTGTGGACCATCAATTTTGCACTTTAGAGAGTGATTCTGACTCAGATCCTCTGTTTTATCAGAAAATTTGTTTTTTCTTGCTCTTAGCTGGAAAAATGACGATCTGCCAACTCTATAAAGTATTTACTTGTTTTTCACCCATGGAATATAGCACATGCATTGTGCAAATGGTTGATTCAGCAAGACTACAAAAAAACAGAAACTACTGAAGAGCTTAGTAACTGCTGTTTCAGTACTAGTGTTTAATCTTTCAAGCACATCTAGTGTCTGTCAGTTTCTGATTGGCATGTGTGGGCTGTGACTGAAGAACTTTTCAAACCAGCTTTACACCCTTCAGGAAATATCCCTTGTTTGTGATTGGACGTTTGTCTGCCAGGAAACTGGTCTCCAAGATGCTGAAGCTTCAGTTGTTTTATGATGGCACAGTTCCCTTGATCTGATTTTCATTCCATCACTGTTCACCTTATTTTAATTTTTTAAAATTTTATAGCCATACTTACAAGCTCTTGATTTGTTGATTCCACAAATCAATTTCATTAAAATCCAAAGATAGCAAATTTTTAGGTATATTTTGTACCAGATTAAATTAGAAGACAAAAAAATTATGCTTTCATAGTTACAGAGATAAAGAATGAAGAGATTTGGTGCACAACAAAATACAAAAATATATATGTGTTAGCTGTGTGTGTGTGTATATACATACGCACACATAGCTAACATATAGCTAATAAAATTACCTGAGGAGTGTAATGTTTGTTTATTTTGTGTGTGTGTGTGTGTGTGTGTGTGTGTGTGTGTGTATCTTTGCAATCTATTTTATATATATTGACAAAAAGAGACTGTGAAATATTTAGCCATGCAGAACATGTGACTAGACCAGAGCATGTGTAGGAAGGCATTTTGGTAATCATTAACTCTACTCAGAAATGATGGACTACACGTTATGATGTGTGTTATCTACACTTCAATCAGTAATATTAGCAAATCTCCAAATGTTAGCCACATTGGTTTGTTTTCCTTGTACATTTCTTTATTCATGATATTACAGTGCTGTAACTGGGTGGTCCTTTTTAAACAGAACATTATTTGCAAAACAGAGGGTATTATTTGTTTTTAAAGCTTTTGTAAATAAAGGCTTCAGAAATGTTTTCTTATATTTGTTGGTGACTGGTAATTTTGTTTTGAAAATATTTGGGGGATTTTTTTTTTTTAATTTGGCCAGCTGAACAGAACTCAGTGACTTCATTAACTGTAGCTAATTACTGAAAAATCAATTTGAACTTTCTGCATTTCAACAGTGTTGGCTTATTCTTTATTAATACCTCGACTAGATTTTAAGAATTGATTTCCATCTCTCCAAGAATGCATTTATTCTGAAAGATTTACAAAGTATAAATGCACTTAGTATAACTTACTGTGGCTTCTTTTTAAAGCTGATCCAATATGACAGGTATAATTGGTTTCTTTTTTATTTTGGTCTTCACATCCTCAAAAAAAAAAATTATGATTGCCTTTTGAATAGCCATGGTAGTTGATGAATTTCATGGGTTGTTGGTTTCTACCTCTAAGAAGTAATATATTTCATAACTTCTATAAGAGGAGCACTATGACTTACTAAATCTAGCTTTCGGATAAAAGATATTTAGCTGATCCATTTTTAGTGTTCCTGAGCCATTCTGGACTTGCCATATTCTGTTAAATCTACTACAGCAAGGGCCAGCAAACTATGGCCTGCAGGCCCAAAGCAGCCTGCATCCTGCTTCTGTGTGGCCAGTGAGATGAAAATGGTTTTTACAGTTTTAAAATGGTTGGGAAAAAAATATTTCCTGATGTGAAAATTATATGAAAATTAAATTTTAGTGTCCAGAAATAAAGTTTGTTGGAATGCAGCCACACTCACGTACTGTGACCACTTGCACCGCAGTGGGGAAGCTGAGTAGCTGCTGCAGAAACTGCCCTTGACGCTTCATTTCAGTTCTGCAGCATCTGGAGTGCACCACAATGCTTGATTTTTCTTTGTCACCGATTCATACCCATTGTGTCTGGAGAGAAGTGCACTTTGAATGGTGCGCTTGAAAGGCACACTGAAGGATGGATTATCAAGTGATATGGTGAAATATTGTTTTTATCATGCAGTGACACTATAACTGCTAAACAATTACAACTATGTTGCCATAACCAGGCTAAAGCCTCATCACAATATTCACAATTTATGGGAAAGCAACAGTTGGGAGAATTAGAAATTTTAAAATAGAATAACTCATCACAGCATAATTTCTTCACTAAAATAAAAAATGAAAATGTGCTGCAACCAAAGTATGTGTAAAAGTGCCCATTTGTTAGCCAAGCAAAGCCATTTACTGATGGTGAGTTACAGCACGTTTTCTGCGTGCAGTAGCCAGTAGTGACCTTCCAGTGTACAGGATGATACTCCAGCAGCCGCACGGGCCAACACAAGATTGTTTTATTTAATACTCAATTTTCACATAAATGTCAGATTTGCTCATTTAAGATGCTTTTTAATACTAGGCTTTAGAGGACTTTACATAATGACAGAAAGAGATGTGAAACCTAAACTCGAACCACAGCCTTACTCTCATCGCTGAATAAAACACTGAAGCTTTTATGGTATCAGCTCTTTAATTCAGCATCAACAGAATTCTACTTTGGCACATTATGTTTTTTTCTCAAACACCTTCATCTGTCAAAAAACTATTAAAGTATTGATAAATTTAGGTCAGGATTGAGCTCCTTACACTGTTAAACCTTCCCTGGAAGATGCAGCCTAAATTATGAATTAGTACTGTCCTCTGTAAGCAATGAGCTCCTTTCATGTAGCATAAACCAGAGTTTAAAGTCACTTATCAGAAGACCCTCTGGTTTCATTGGTACTCAATTCAATTCAACATGAATAATCTTTTTTTTTTTTTTTAATCCTCACATGAGGACATTTTTCCCTTTTTTGTTCAGATAGAGTGGGAGGGAGAGAAAGAGAAACGACGTGAAAGGGACACATCGAGTGGCTGCCACCTGCATGACCCAACCAGAGCCGGGGACAAACTGCAACCAAGGTACATGCCCTTAGCGGGAACTGAACCCGGGTCTCTCTGGACCGCAGGCCGATGCTCTAACCACTGAGCCAAACTGGCCAGGGCCAACATGAATAATATTAATAGCCATCTTCATCTCCCCTCCACTCCCACCCCCATCCCCAGCTGTAAACTAACAATACAGAAATACTGAAGACTGGCTGTAAACAAGAACTTCCAAGATCTGTCACTGGGCCTTGTCACCAGTTGTTTGTTTTTTGCTGTCACTTTCTGCAGTGAGAAAGGGCTGCAGGTGATTTTAAGTCTATTGGCATTGCCCAGATTATATCATATGTGAACTTTTTGTTTGTACAAGATCAATTAAAGGGTATCAGAGATTGAGTTCTTAGGTAACCTAGATTGCATTATGGCAGAGTATCCTCTTATATTCTCTTTTGTTTTGAGAATAGAAAGAAAAAAAAAAAACCTTTCAGAGCCCCCTGCTATGTTAGGAGATATCCCACGTACATGCTTTTGATCCACAAAGTTCCTTTGAAACAAACCTGGAATTCATCCCTTCAGTGATATCCACTGGATACAAATCTAGACAAGAATAACAAGCCCATCATGGCAAAGAGAAAAGGGAAGTGCACAGAGTTGACCATTATAAAGTATAACACAATTTTCTGTGTTCTGTAACAAAATAAGGCTCTTTGGTAGTAAATCTAGTAGGAGGACATTGCTTACTTTTCAAATAAACCCCTTAAATGTTAGCATGTGTTTAATGCTTTTAATAAGTGACATGATCACACTACTAAAGTGTCAATGCAAGTTAGAATCCGAACTTTTACCAGAATGAGGTTTAAAAAAATCCTAGTGGTAGACACGTGAAACAGTAACAAACATTTAATGGGGTCTGCTTCCACATTCAAGAGGAAATATGTTCTAAGTTGGCTAAGTATGTAGAAAAAGTATAGAAATTTTCTGCGGAAGGCTCTTACCTAGAGACATGTTATTTGTGCAAATCCGTTGTCCAGATGTGTCACTGGACAAAATATTAGCTGATTAGAATTTGTAGTCGGGGGGTGGCACTGAATACCTCACAGTTTACAGGCAAGGGGTCTGCTGCATTTACCCCGTGGGTGGTTCCTATATGTGGGTTTAAAAAACAATCATGACAGTGTTAGAACTACCACTTTCACAAGTATTTCATAGTGTGATGTGTATACCAAAGATACTGTGTAACTTCAGAATCTGCTCAGCCAGTTTACATGTATTTCAAAAGGGAAAATCTGCTACTTTGTAATATAATGTAACGATTTTTTCACGGGTTCTCTTGAGCGTGAATCACGATTACTAGCTTAAATTTTTATGAACACGGTTTATAGATCCTTTGTATTTGATGTTCCTAGTGAAGATAGTTTTGCCAGACACAAGCTGTCTTTCCAGTACTTGTCTGTTGATTATTGTGTACTTGAGTTTTATAGTCTTCCAGGTGTCCTCAGGATCATTAAACTACTAATGAGTAATTACTTCATTTTGTCACACACCTCTTCTCAAAAGACCTATGCAATGACCAGGTTGTAGATGTGACTTTGACCTGTAGTAGCTAGCGGTGGCTATTAGGAAAAGTGTTATCTGTAAAGCAATTCAGGTTGTCAGTGCAAAGGCAACTTCATATAGACAGCTAGTGAAGGTGATCAACCAGACTTTATTACAGCGTAACAGGAGGGGTTCGTGGATAAGCACTTGATGTCTCATCATTGTATTTAGATGCAATTTTTCTTTAATTTCTCTTTGATAAAACAAATCCCCTTTCACTGAACAATGGCAAATAAATAGTTAATAAGTACATGTTATAAGTTGTACAAAATGTAGGTCTATTTGATGATGCTTTATTCACTCAAGAAAAATGTATACTGCATATCTAATGATATGCCATCTCTAAAAATTCTAACCCCCCTAGAATGATAACCCTCCTACTAAACAAACACCCATGAAAATTATTTACTTTATGAAACAAAAAAGGAACCATTACAACTTAATGAAAAATTTTTATTTTTAAAAATGTTTTCAAAGCTGAATCTAATGTGTATTGGCTTTATTTCAATAATTACATGGATGACCTAAAATGGAGAAAAAAATTAACAGTACTCTAGCAAGGTAAAGAATAAAAATCTCTCTTTTTTTGCCTAGCTTCCAGTTTGACAAGAGGGAACACCTAACAATCCTGTTCCAATAAAAACAGCAATAGTACTGTGCTTTGAAAAATATCTGGTTGCATATAATTCTTAATACATCACATAATGCTGTTGCCCTTAAGACTTCTAGCTGTAGCTATAGGTTCCAACCTGGCACTTCAGGTAATGAGAAATGATGACCAAAACATGCTTTAAGTTAAAAGTAAAAATATAACTTATGAATTTTCTTGAAGCAGATTGTCAGATTAAAACATTTAGCTTTAAAAAAAAAATCTGAAAAAACAAAACAAAAAACACCTGCCATCCTCTTGTTCAAATAATTACACTCAAAAGATCTATTAATTGGACTGGGCTGATATTGGTTCTTCCATTAACTCATTTAAAACTCTGTATTGTTAGCAAGGATGTGTAATTATAAGGATCTATTATTACTCCATTATCCTCTGGCTTTCTAATCTATTTTGTGTTGAATTTTTGTCTAACCCAGATTTTGAAAAATTTAATACCATTTTCTCTTTGATTAAGTACCCGTTTCTTAGCTGTGTAGTTTTAAAAGGTAAGCTACTTTAAATTTTGAAAATCAGTACTCCAAAAATGTACACAGCTTATTCTAATCACTAACATTTATAAAACTTACACTCCAACAAATTAAAAAAGAGTAAATAAAACTTCTTTTTAAATAGTGCATACAAGGCACAAGAGCTTCTTAGTATATTCACTGAAGCCTAACATTTTGGCATCAACAAACACCCCACTTTAGTTTATCTGAAACTCAATTTCCAAACAGCACATCATTTAGTTATACTGAACTAAATTTCCAAAATCACATAACTTTATATGATTTGTATCATTCAAACTTAATAGATGAGGAACTATATAGTTTAACTATCATACTTTTGATGAGAGGACACAAATAATATAGATAAAAATGGAGGATTCATCTACTGACCCATCAGGAATTCTTAACAGAAATTTAATATTTTTGTTATGTTCAATGAAAGAAAAAAGGCTAAAACAAAATTTTTTAAAGTCAAACTGGCTAAAGAATATCATAAACCAATTTCCATTACTTGTTATTACAGATTTCCCCCAATGTAAGAAGATTAGAAGAGATGAAAAATATATTTCAGATGTAACAGAAATGTATTCAGTCTGACAAAAATCTTCTGGCCAATTGCGTATCATTGAGTTTGAACGTCAATGATCATACTTATTTTCCAACAGGGAACAAAAGCTAGAATTAGATTAAAGTCTAGCAAAAAATGGATAGTGATCTTCAATTGTAGGTCATTTGGAATCTGGAATGAATTCTCTCGGTCTGAAGCTGGATTCACATCAGGAGTAAACAATGAAGTCTGGCTACCTCCACCTTTTCACAGGTAACAGGTTTTACGAGTAAGTCTTATCATTATAATGTGACTAGAAATCTTTTCAGTCTCGGTATCTTCATCTTAATTTTCTGGATGAGAATTATGATAAATTGCGCTACCGAAGTATCTGGGTGAAAACTGTCCCAGGAATTTACTCAAAGTTTTTATGACAAGATATTTTTGCCCTTGATTCATAAACCATAATTATTTGTAACATTTCACAGGAGTTTGTTAGTTGGCAACAATCAGTATCCTGAATGAAAACTGTGGTGTTTTAAGCAACAGCTGGGAGAGAACTAATCAATTCATATTCTGCATATCCAGCCACAGGGGAATTGCAATGACTGGCCGAGGTGCCTTCCGGTGGGAAGTCTCCTCCATCCATCTACAGCATTGATACCTTGAAATGAAACAGAAAACATGAAATTGTTGTGTTAACTATAAAAAAAAAAGAACCACACTAACCACCTCATTCATTCAACAACTCACTGTTTGTTGTGATAAATTAAATGTTCTTAAAAATTAAATGTTTTCTATATGAGAAGGCTCAGTAGATGTGTTCTTGAATACAGCCTCTACATCAGTGCCCTCAAACTATAATGTGCATATACAAGACCAGAGGATCTTGTGAGAATGCAGGAAATGCAGATTCTGATTCAGTAGAACTAGAGCAAGGTCCAGTATTTTGCATTTCTGTTCAGCAATCAGGTGAGGACAACGATACTGGTTAGGGACCCCAACCTGAGTGCAGGGTTCTCCTATGCTGTTAGTTCTGCATTTGTCTGAGGCCACTACACATTTAGGAATGACAAATGAGTTAGAAGCGGGACTTAGGGAGATAAGTTTGAAATTTCGGGTGCATTGAAGCACAGCATTTTTTTTGTTTATAATTTATGAGGGAAGGTTGGATAGGTTAAATTTAATCTACACTTGAGCACTACTCTAGATCTAGGCACAATATAACTATCTGGGACCTATGCTCACTAAGATATATTGTAGTAAGAGGCCACAGATCATTTACTAATGGAGTTCAAAAAGAGAACAGAAGATATCACTGAGTAATGTAATTGAATTAAGTGTATGTTCAACATAAATGTCACTGAATGAATTGTAAGCCTGAGATACAAAGTAGTAAAACTATTTTTAAAACTACTTGGAAAAACTATAACTACTTTAGGAAAATGCAAGTTTTAAAAAAGAAACATTTTATAATTACTGATTATATCAATAGATTGAAAAAAATTACATCAGAAAATTGCTTTTTTTCCCCATGTCAGTGCAGCTGATTCATGCTGCCATGTGGTTATTCTGACCATTGATGTGTTATATTCAAATGTAATAAAATCAAGTTTTTATGAGACTTAATTTTAATAATGTTATTTTATCACTTATTTACCAAATGTTTATTTAGAACCTACTATGTATCTGGTACTGTGCAAAGTGTTAAGGATAATGATGAACAAATGCAACACTGGTCTTGTGTCAAAATACTGGGACGTCTACATGACACAATATTACTATATACGTGACCTCACAAACAATGGTGATTGTTACTAATAATTCAAAACACTCAACAAGCCCAGGCGGTGTAGCTCACTGGTTGAGCGTTGACCCATGCACCAAGAGTTCGCTGGCTCAATTCCCAGTCAGGGCACATCCCTGGGTTGCAGGCTTGATCCCCAGGGGGGGCGTGCAGAAGGCAACCGATTGATATTGATCTCTCTCCCTCTCCCTCTCCCTCTCTCTTGAAAAATTGATAAAAACATATTTTTCAAGAACACACTCATCAAAAAAAATCCTGTGAAACTTTACATGCTTTACAGATGTTTGTTCTGTAAAATATTTAGTTGTGGTATTGGTTAGTGATTCATATTTGTTTATTCATAGTTACATTTTAAGAATTATTTCCAGAAATTTAATATTGTCTCTTTGCTATTAATCTCATCCACTCTAACATTATGTACATTAGCCAAAACCAAAACAGGCAACAGGCAAATTCCCAAGTCATCATTTTGCTGCTATTAAAGAGCTACTCATTAAAACTAAAACAAACTAAATTTACAAAGATTTTAAAAAGAAGATTTTTCCATTTGACCCAGTGATCCCGCTTCTAGGAATATACCCTAAGAAGCCTGAAACACCAATCAGAAAGAATATATGTACCCCCATGTTTGTAGCAGCACTATTTACAATAGCTAAAATCTGGAAACAGCCCAAGTGTCCATCAGTAGACAAATGGATAAAAAAGCTGTGGTACATATACACAATGGAGTACTACGCAGCTGTAAGAAAGAAAGATCTCTTATCCTTTGAGACGACATGGAGGGACCTAGAAAGTATCATCCTAAGTGAAACAAGCCAAACAGAGAAAGACAAGTATCATATGATCTCACTTATTTGTGGAATATAATGAACATAACAGTCTGAGGAATGGGGTAGTCCCAGAGACGTGGAAGTGGGGTACAGACTGACAATCCCCAGAAGAGGGGATGGTGGGGGAGAGAGAAACCACAGAACTTATATGCATGTGTGCATGAACAGTGGACATGGACAACAAACTGGGGACAGGGCAGGGAGGGAGGAGGAGGGGGGAATCAGTGGGGGAGAAAGGAGAAACATCTGTAACAAAAATTAATTAATAAAAAAGAAAAAATAAATAAAAAGAAGATTTTGAGGATTAAAATGGGTTAGAAATACAAACACAGAAACTAAAACAACAATAACAACAACTCAGATATCCGTTAAGTATTTTGACACAAATGATTTTGTTTTCAATACACTACACTGTCTCGCTACTCTTAGACTTCAGGATTCTAGATGGAAGTTTTATAAACAGAGAGTTGTCTTGATAACTTTAATGTTAAACTAATTCTTTATATTTGTGTTTATTATAATGGTACATAGAGTTGTTTGTTTTGTCTAGTTGTTTATGGCTTTGTTCCAAGGGGCTCTATTATATCTTTCTACTGACTGTAGGCTTATAAATGTATTAAAGAAACTGATTTTGAAGTTCAGGTTTTTAAAAATTATGGTTTAAAGAAAGTGATGTGGAACACCTATCATTTTAAGAATGACACATGCTGTGGGGGGTCCTACTATGACCAAAAATAGAGATAAAAGGTTTACGCTAACAACATGTGATTATCTTGTACTTAGATCCAGTGAGATTCTGCTAATGGATGGTCAAGGACATGACCACGATATATCCTGCAGCAGAGAAAAATTAAAAAACAACAACTGTACAATACTATTGAAATGATAAGAGAACTGGCATGTAAACTTCAATATTTTAGGCTCAATCCTTGCCATTTAATCTACTACTATAAAAATGTATTTTGTTCATCAACTTATTTTTATTTGTATCAAGTTCCCCTAAATACTAGCCAATACTGAACCTAAGTCCATGTCCAGATGTCTCCAGAACAATTAATGCAATCTCAAGGGTAAGCCAAGACATCTTTTAATTTGAATCATTCAAAAATAAATAATAATGTTTATAGAAACGATTTGCCCTAGGAGAAGCAGAAAAGTATTAAAATATAAAACAACAATGAAGGAAAAACTTAACTTACTTTCATGAAATATGAATTTATTTTGTTTGAAGAGTTAAGTCTCATTCTCCATGGTCAATGCAGGATTGCTCATACCTTCAAGAAAGAACATTAATTTGCATTTTTTTGGTTGCTTTTGAACAAACAGGCAGAGATTTATTTATTCATCCATGAATTTCCCCAGTATACGTCCAAAGGTGCCTTGTGCATAGTATTGGTGCTTATGAATAAGACGGTCATATAAACATACACATGAGATGCAGTGTCGGCCACAACCACTGTCACAAAAAAACAGAGATACACACCTAGGAAACAGGTGTGCGCAGGACAATGAAAGCGACACTGAACCTGGCACTTCTCACATCATCATAAATCACTGTTTCCTCATTCTTCATGGACCGACCTCATTCTAGTCAAACTCATCTCTGCTCCCTTTCTCACCTCTCTCCGTTCACATCATCCTTTAAACTTCAGTTTCTCATTCATCTATCAAAGTAATAGCAAAATTAATCTAACATAAAAAATAAATCACTTCTGTACCGATGTAGAACTAGAATATGAGACACGAACCATTTCTGAAAGAGCTCTGTCTCTCCACCCCTCAAAAACTTGACCCCAGTTGTACATCCTCTCTGTCTCCGAGGGAACAGGGAGCGCAATGGCAAACTGGTGTCATCAGTTCTTGCTTATGTAACGCCTGGTCCTTCCCTAGATGGGAACATCGAATGGTGGGTTTGAAGGCCAAGAGAGACCACGGATGCATATTCAAACGATAGGGATCTTCCGAGGTACACGTAGGGTGTGGCACAAGTAGGTGTATAGTTGTGAGTACGTGAAACAGAGTTTATTCTTGTATTATTATTATTACTAATGATTGTATTCGTTTCCATATGAATAACTAAACCTATTTTGCCCCACCCTGTATATTCTTTAAGAACACCACTTTTTAAAGAAAGCTGATGTTTTAGGGGAATGTGACTGATTGTATAGTAAATAAAGACTTTAGAATTTGTGACCAGGACAGTCCATGTGTGCCTCACCATTGCTAAGTCCCAAGGAGATTTCGAAGGAAGCAGTACCTAAAGTGCAGTGAGCCACCGTGCAGCGGCGCTGAGTGCGGAGATAAGACTGGGGATGAAGGATCCCAGACAGGAACTCAGCCAGTCCAACCCAGCGATTTCCTGGCTCGCAGCTTCCCAGGGTGAATGAGTGGTTTCGACTCATTTATCACACACACATACTCACTCAGACCTGCACACTGGATCACATTATTTTGCTTAATCCTTCCCAACCCTGAGAAATAAGAAGTGTTTTCAAGATAAGTAAGCTAAGTAACCGTTTAGGTAACTTAACAAATATCACATATTAATTAGGTGCCCAAATTGGGACTTGAAATCAGGTCTGTCTGACTTCAAAGCCTTGCTGTTCTTTGCCAATAAAGAAGTAATAAAAAGATTAAAATCAGCAGCAGTAACCAGAAATAGGAAGAAGTTACAGGAAGCCTAAGTTATGGTAATTATGCAATCTCTTTGACATTTTGAAACTGGATAGAAACCTTAGGGTAAAAGAACTGCATAATTTGAGATCCTTCACAGTAGAAATTTTTTAACCTTTTGTCTGAATTGATTCCATTTAAAAAATTATACTTTGAGTTTAGTTCTATCATTTAATATGCAGTAATAAAGATTTCGCTTTTTAAACTAGAAAAAAATACAAGGTCGAGCTATCTTTTACAAAATGATTTCTGAGAGCTACCAGACATTCAAGTACTTCACAAATAGAAGTTCCTGAAAATAATTCTAAATTTACACTGGATGTCTGACTCCAAAGCAAGAAAAAGCCTATAGGTAATATAATGGAATTGTTTTTCACTACTTTAACCTTTTATTTTATTTTATTATTACTATTTTTTTGGTACGTGCCCCTAGCGGGAACCGAACCCAGGACTCTCTGGTCCACAGGCCAATGCTCCAACCGCTGAGCCAAACTGGCCAGGGCTACTTTAACCTTTTAAAAAGAAAATCCATCAAGAAAGCCCAACAAGCACAGCCTTACCAGCTTTGTCTTTGCCCGGGTTGGTGCTGCCCTCCGTCCAGGACTGCGAATCAGCGAGAAGGCGGCTCTGGGACTCTCTCAGTGGCTTTGCAGGGAACTGGTTTTCAGGACTGAATGACAACAATCATCACAATCATCGCATTAGCTCCTGACAGCGTTCCTCAGAGTATGCAAAGCAAGTCACTGTGCTGCGAGGTCTGTGAGAACGGGGAGTACGGCAGCCAGGAGACCCCCTGGCTCACAAGGTGGGTGCTCCGTCCAGTTCTTTCTTCTGATTACAATGGGAGGACAATCTTGTAAAATCTCCATTGTTTAATACCGAGACTCGGCCTCAGTTTCAGACTTTAGTATGTAAGGGAATCAAGTTAGACCTACCAGTATTTTATTATCAATTTTACCTTAAGTCATACTCTATGTATGACAAATTATACTAGTTTCAATGACCGAGATATGAAGTTTGCTTTAAAAATAAATCTCAGTGCCAATTTACATAAATATATGAAGGAAAAAATATTATTTTTAAGTGGTATGTGAATATGGAAAAAAGTATGATGGTGATGGTAGAAAGAAAAGTGAGCAAAACTGGTTTAGTGTTTGGTCTTGAACAAAGAATTCTTTCTTCTCTAGGAGACTAATATAGCAAATTCCAGCATCCCCTTGCAAGAATGTTGAAAACATCTGACATTATCAGGTCTTACAGATTTGCTGTTTAATTTGGGAAAATGAAGAGTCTTAAAATATTTAAAATTTAAGTAGACATGCCACATATCGACACTGGATGGTATGAAAAAATATGTACATACATTAAAATAACATTTGAGTTAGAAAAAATTACTGGCACAGAAACTATTATTTTAGAACACCCTGAAATACTAATTATAATAATGTTCGAAAGGAGAAAAAAACTACTTAAAATCCTTCCAAGAATAACTTTACATATTTCAGTTATCTATAAGTATTATTTTTAAAGGATATGCTTTTGCATCTTAGTAATTACCTCATATCTAAACTTTGAGATTATTTCAATTCTGCTCAGCCTTTATATACGCTTATTAAAATTTTGAAGGTAAAAAATATCATCTCTCCCATTCCTGTGAAAAACCTCTTTTAATCTAATTCTTATTATTCCTCAGGAAAGAAGCCATATATCAGGTACAGAAAACGACTTCCTGGTTTAGGGACTCCTTAGAGACTGATTTCTGGCTAGGATTCATTCATCCAATGATATGCACTGAGTACCTATTACATCAATGAATAGTCTTTGATCCTATGGAAATTTCATTGTAACTGAGGAATAATAATAAATAAATATATCATAAGTCAGGTGACAATATGAGCTATGACAATTAAAAAAAAAAAAAGACAGTGTACAGGGACGCGCTGGAGCAGGTACTATTTTACAAAGGCTCGTCAAGGACGGCCTCTACTGTGGAGTCACACCTAAGGAGAAAGTGAATGAAGAGAAGGCACAGACCATTCAGAATTCTGGAGGAAGAACATTTAGGAAGAGGAATTAGCAAGTACAAAAACACTAAATAAGGGACATACTTGGTATATCTGAGGGACAGCCAAGATCTGTGTGTCCAGGGACTGTGAGTGACCATAGAATGGTAAGGGCTGACCTCAGACAGGTGTGGGGGCCGGATGAGATGGGACAAGGTAAGACATTCATTAGCCTTAATTCTGAGTAAGATGGAAAGTCAATGGAGCAGAAGAGTGACAAAATCGGATTTATTTTTAAAAGGATCACGCTGACTTCTTAATGAACAGACTGGAGTAGGGCAAAAATGAAATCAGGAAGATCCATTAGGAAGGAATTGAAACAATTCATGTGAGAAATGATATAGATACCTTTTGAGGGTGAACTTGACAGGGTTTGCAAATGGAGCAAATAAAGTAACTGAAAGAAAGGAATCAGAATGAGCACCTGGGAGGACAGTCACAAATACTGGTTCACACACGGGAGAATGGAGGGGAATCGGGTTCCAGTGGGTGTGAGGGTGGAAGGCTGGGATCGAGAGTTCTGCTTTGCGCCTGCTCAGCTGGCCACGACTTTTAGACACGAAAGTGGGGATGCTGAGTAGACATCCAGATATAAAACTCTGGAGCACAGAGGGGGTGCCAGCGTTAACCGCAGAGATTTTATAGGGGCTAATCAGGGGGATTATAAAATTCTGTAGAAGAGACTTCGGCTGTCAAAATCCAGTATCAACATTTAAAGGCAGAGGAGGAGAAGCCTGGTTACTTGATCTCCTCCAGGTCAGCCAGCTGGTGACAGTGCTGGGACTGGATTTCTCTCGATCCCTCGGTACACTTAGTGGGAGAGAGATCATCCTAAAACCCAAAGAGTCTTAAACTTCAAAAACCACTTAATAAAGATAAAAAACATTATTGAAAAACTACTGTTACACTTTATAAAAACTAAATAATTTAATAAAATGAGATTTTTCTCTGCACCAAAGTATAAGAAAAACCATTAACATTTAGCTCTGTGAAATTTTCAAGCCAAAACTCAGAGCATGACCCAAAATACTCTGGTGCCTTCGGATGTCCTGTGAAACACTGAACTCCCTCCTCATTAACTGATAGAGTCTGGATTATACTAGCTCCCTCCAGGGATGGGGTGGCAAGGGGTTTTATCTCATGACAATTTAAAATAATCTGGAATGGCCCTCGGGGTCCCTGCCTTGAGAAGCATTCTGGGCTCATGCCAGGCTGCAGAGGAGAAGGCACTGTTAGCACCCAGAAATACACCCCACACGGGTGAGTGTAGGCACGGGTGCTGTGTATATATACAGCATTCAGGCAGCTAAGGACATCTCTAAGTTTAACTAAGAATGCTGTTATGGTTATGCTTTTGTTATTAGATTTAATTAAAAATGAGAAGTATGGTCATATTCAAATAACTGTCTTAACGATATAAAAATTAGTGTTTAAAACTTATGCATATACGTATAGCATTTTACACGTTTAAGTAGTTTTGCCTTTTGCCAGTTGGTAGCAAAGGCAGAAGCAAATGTCACATTTCCCACATTCTTGACAGACTTAAAGCGAGGGCCAAGGTCTCTAGATAAGACATTTCTCACACCCTCTCCCTTCGCCTCCACAGAAACGGCTCAGATAATGGTTAGAGGCCCTGCGAGAGCACTAGGAATGTGGTCCACATGCTAATGAAGCTGCCAAGCAAGGGTCTGGGATTCCCTTAGGAATCCAAAGGCCTGAGCCAGGGAAGTTTTCTGATCTCTTTACAGCAGTTACCAGAGAGGACGGATCTGGAGGGTCACAGGGACATTTTACCCTGGATCGACTCGCCTGATCACGAGGGGAGCTCATTTGGACTCACATTTTCTTTAAGCATTATATTTTAAAACTTCATAATGTATGTCCGTCAACCCAAATGTTTAGAGAACTAACAACCTGTTTGCCCACCAGCAAGATTAATAACAGAACTTTACAAGTATAACTGAAGCTCCCTGCACCCTCCCTCCCTCATTCCAAGTGGAAACCACTGTAGTAAATCATCTTCTGGTCTTAAAACTTTTTTTTTCCCCTAGAGAAACATGTAACCAAAGGATACACAAGGACAAAATATATTACTCAAAATTAAAATGGGAAAAACAATAAAGGATTACTTTTTAGATGCTGGATGAAGTCCTGCAGGAGCAGCTGCTTGTTCAGGATCTTGGGTAACAAGGCAGGTTGGGAAGGAGCAGCCATCACCTAGACTGTAATTAAAATGCAAACTTACAACTGAGCGACAAAACAGGCAGCAGAGTGAAACTATTCAGGTGCTGATGTCTGTGAGCAGAACACAGTTAGTTACAGGCCAAATGTGTACCGCACACAGCTTTCAGTACAACGTGTTAAGGGAGATAATGGGTTAATCGATTTCCACATTAATACAATAGTGAATCATCAAATAATACTTTACAAAATAGGCCTTCCTGTACAGAATAATAGAGTTCCTTTGTTGGATTACTTTCATTAGTTTAAGGCTTGAAAAATGTCACACAAAATACCTTGAAAAAATGGGTAGCAACCAGTACTTCTTCTCGTCGCCAAACACTTGTCGCATATTTTTACTGAAACCCAAGCTGAATCCATTCTTATCTGTTCCATGTCGAAACACTGGACTTCTAAAAGCCTCTACAACAGATAGTAGAGCAAGCGCATGAGTGAAGAACACACTGACTTGTAACCCATATACTTAGGAGCGACTGAATGAAATGAGGGAACCTGAAAATCAGTGGCTAGCCCCGTGAGTACGTATGTACCTTCCAACACTCAGCAATACAGATGGCCTATTCCGTTTTAAAATAATCAAATGATTACACTTATATTAATTTCTAAGTAACCTTTTAACTATTATAGCAGCACATGTGTGTTGCAGAAAATTAGAAAATACAAACAAGCAAGTTACCACTTTACATCTTCTAAATCTTTTTTAGATAGATGGGTGGGTGGATGGACAGATGGATGGATACAAACACATACAACTGTACATAGTTTTCTAACCTGCATTTTATAGTCAGTAAGTTTTATTTTACAATCTCATTAAAATTTAGTCTTATTCAATCATATTTTTCCCAGCTAACCAAAAATGTACTTTAAAGCTGGTCTGCCCCTAAGTTACATAGCTTCATATCAAATCTTTTATAATCAGAGGACCATATTGTCCAGAGGAAGTCCTTTCAGTGTTACAAGTTAAACTTTACAAGTTAAAAGCTTCTAGAAACAATTCATTTACTTTTGAGGAATTAAAATTTAATTGTCCAACATATATTTTGAAATAAGACACTTTGTTTAGAAATTACTTTGTTATACTAATTATCACCCTAATAGTATCTGCTATACTAAGACGTAAACATTAAAATATATCATTCATTGACTATAGGCTACAATTAAACTTCACTGACAATTATAATAATAGAAGCTCATTGTTTGAAGTGTCCGTTGAGATTATAAGGATTTATAAATTCTGGTTGTAGTCCCAAACTCCTAACCTTAGTCTAGAAAACTCTACTTAGCTTAGTCCCTGATTACTCATCAAACCTCGTGGTATATATTTTTGTTTTTTAGCTTTCTATGCACCAACTATGTGGACAGCTCTCTTCCTATAGGGCTTCTGTAAAAATCGGGGTGAAATTTACAGAACATAAAATTAGCCACTTTAAAGTGAACAATTCAGTGGTACTTAGTACATTCACAGTTTTGTGCAACTACCACCTACTATGAAGTTCAAAAATGTTTTCATCACCCCCAAAGAAACCATACACTTATTAGGCGGTCATATGTTGTAGCATGTTTTAGTACTTTTTTCCTTTCTATGAGTAAATACTATTCCACTGAATACACACACACACACACACACACACACACACACACTTCTTTTCTATACAGTCATCCTCTGATGGGCATTTGGGTTGTTTCCACCTTTGGGCTAATGTAAATAGTGCTGCTACAAATGTTGATGTACAAATATCTATTGAAATATCTGTTGATGTACAAATTAATCTGTTTCCAATTACTTTGTATACATACTAAGAGTAGAATTGCTGGGTCACATAGTAATTCTATATTTAACACTTTGAGGAATTGCCAAACTGTTTTCCCAGTGGCTACACAATTTTATATTCCCACTAGCAATATGTGAAGGTCCCAAATTTGCCACATCTTCACCAAAACTTTAAAAAAAATTATTATAGGCCCTGGCCAGTTTGGCTCAGCGGTTAGAGCGTCGGCCTGGTTCCCGCTAAGGGAACGTACCTCGGTTGCAGTTTGTCCCCAGCCCTTGTTGGGTCATGTGGGTGGCAGCCACTCGATGTGGCTCTTTCACGTCGATGTTTCTCTCTCTCTCTTTCTCTCACTCTATCTGAACAAAAAATGAAAAAATGTTCTTGGGTGAGGATAAAAAAAAAATTATTATATCCATCTAAGTGGGTAAAAAGTGGTACCTCACTGTGGTTTTGATTTTTATTTCCCTAATAACTAATGATATAGAGTATGTTTTTATGTGTGAGTTGGTCATTTGTATTTTCTTTAGAGAAACGTCTTTTTATTAAATCTATTTTTTATTGATTGTTTAGAGAGTGAGAAACATAAATGTGAGAGAGAAACATCGACAGGCTTCCTCCTGCAGGGCCTCCCCTTACTGGGGATCAAGCCCACAACCCTGGCATGTGCCCTGACTGGGAATTGAACCGGGACCTCTCAGTCCATGGGACGGTGCTCAATCCACTGAGCCACACCAGTTGAGCAGAGAAATGTCTTTTTAAATGTCTTGAAATCTTTGGCCAGTTTTTAAATTGGGTTGTTTGTTTCAGTTGTTGAGTTGTAAGATTTGTATATTTTGGATACTTGGCCCTTGGATATATGATTTACAAATATTACTCTCATTTTGTAGGTTATCTTTTTACATTTTGATGTTTGATGCACAAATATTTTTAATTCTGATAGTGTCCAATTTTTTTTTTATCCTCACTCGAGGACATTCTTCGATATTTTGTTCAGATAGAGTGGGAGGGAGAGAGAGAGAAACCTCGATGTGAAAGGGACACATTGAGTGGTTGCCACCCACATGACCCAACCAGGGCCGGGGACAAACCACAACCAAGGTACACACCCCTAGCGGGAACCGAACCCGGGTCTCTCCAGACCGCAGGCCGATGCTCCCACCGCTGAGCCAAACTGGCCAAGGCCTGATGGTGTCCAATTTATCTATTTTTTCCTTTTGTTGCTCATGTTTTGGTGTTATATCTAAGAATTCACTGCCATATTTGAGGTCCTAAAGATATCGCTATGTTTTCATCTAAGAGTTTACAGTGTTAGTTCTTCCATTTAGGTCAATGAACCATTTTGAGTTCATTTTTGTATGTGGTGTGAGGTAGGGAACCAACTGAATTCCTTGGCATGTAAATATCCAGTTGTCCCAGCACCATCTGTTAAAGATATTCTTTCCCCAATGAATGGTCTTGGTACTCTTGTTGAAAATCAATTGGCCAAAGATGTGTAAGCTTAGTTCTGGATGCTAAGTTCTATTTCGTTGGTCAATATCTCTATCCTTATACCAGTACCACACTGTTTGGATCACTGTAGATTTGTAGTAAGTTCTGAAAACAGTTTTGGTGGATACTGCTTTTGCTACTTGGGGCCATTGAAACGCCATACAAATATGGGGATCAGTTTTTCTATTTCTACAAGAAAGGCCATCAAAATTATAATAGGATTGCACTACATCTGAAAATCACTTTGGGTAATATTGCCATCTTAACCAGATTAAGTTTTCTAGTCCAAAAACACGGGAACCCTTACCATTTACTTAGGTCTTCAATGTCCTTCGGCAACGCTTTGTAGTTTCCGTCTCCTAGTGTTCTACCTCCTTGATTACATTTATTCTTTGGTATTTTATTATTTTCGATACTTTTGTAAATAAAATTTACAAAGTGTTTCTTTCTCTTCCAATTTTTGGCAGAGTTTTAGAAAAATTTGTGTTAATTTTTCTTAAATGTCTGGTAGAATTTATCAGGGAAGCCCTCTGGTCCTGGGCTTTTCTTGTCGGGAGGGTTTTGATTACTGATTCAACCTCCTTATTGGTCTATTAAGATTTTTTATTTCTTCTGGAGTCAGACTAGTAGTTTGTGTGTCTCTAGAAATCGGTGTCTTTCATCTCGGTCACCTACTCTTTTATGTATAATTGTTCATGGTATCCTCTTCTAATCCTTTTAATTTCTATGGAGTTGGTAGTCCCCACTTTCACTTCTGATTTTCATAATTTGAGGCTTTTCTCTTTTTTCTTTCTATCTATAGGCTTGTCAAATGTATTGCTTTCAAAGAACCAATTGATTTCCTTGACTTTCTACTTTTAAATTCTCTATTTCCATGATTTCCTCTTTAATCGTTACTATTTCCTAACTTCTACTGGCTTTGGGTTGACTCTGCTCTTCTTTTCATAGTTCTTTAAGGTATAAAGTTATTGATTTGAGATATTTCTTCTTTCTTAATGTAAGCATTTATAGCTAGGTATTAATTTTCCTCTAAGCACTGCTTTTGCAGCATCACACCTCTGTGGGGCTTTTGAATATACTGGTTTCTCTGCCTGAGATGTTCTGGCTCTTCCCATGACTGAGTTCTTCGGTTAAATATGTTTTATTTTGGTAAGCTCTTCCCTGAACACTCTATCTAAACAGATACCCTTCTACCACCCCCTGCCCTTGAGATGTACCTCAGCGTTCTGTTTGTGTGTGGTAATTCCTTTGACGTTTGGTTACTGATCTTCAATGCCCCTCCGTAGGCTGTTTTGCCCTTGCTCACCACTGAGTATACACAATACTTGACATACAATAAACAGTCAAAAAATATATGGAATGAGTGAATCTGTTTGTGTCTAAGTCACATCCCACAAAACAACTGTGGGTAATAAGAATTATTTTTTACCACGTCAGGACAGGTTGGCATTTAATCATATGGCAACTTTGGATGAATATCTATTTATGTATTTAAGTTCTTTTAACTATAATAATTGCATACTCACCTAATGTAGACTTATTTTTGCTGACTAGCCAACAATGATAGCCAAACAGAGAAGACAAGCTGACAGAAAACATAGCTGCAGCAAAGAATAAAAACATAATATGGAACTTGGCTTGAGTATCAGGTAGACCATTCTATAAAGAAAGGAAGAAAATGAAATGTTTTGTCAAAGGGATAAGTATTCCCCTACTTTTATAAGTAAGACTTTATTTTGCTTAAGATTTTTCTTTAATTTAGATATGGAGAAAGATATACGGCTTTATGTTAAAACTTTGAGAAAAAATATATAGCATCAGACTAAAGTAAATGTTTACTGGAATGGGAATATATATGGAAAAGATATTCACACTTGGGATATTTATTTTGTTCACATAACTGACTCACAGAGAAACTGTGGTAGTAAGTGTGTAAACTATAACAGGAGAGGAAGATAAAAGAAATTATAAAATGTACTTTTGAATTTACTACTTAAATATGTTTTGTTCACATACTACAGATTTATAATGATTAAATAATTTTATTAAAGTGCCAGAAAATGAAGGTTAATTGGCACAATGTAGCTACTATATTCACTGATGTTTTACTTTACTAAAAACAGCAGCATCAACTACAAGAACACACAGAACAACACATCCACAGTAATGCTCCAGGCTACTGCAAAAGAGCATCACAGAAGAGATAAACAACGGCGCGTAACACCTGTGTAAAATACACCTTACAGTGCCCACGTGACAAAACAGGCCATCTCAAAGCAAAACCAGTTTGACTTTCATTGTACGAATTGTCCAAGGAGACCTGGCCTTGATCTAGAATGGCAGGTTTGGGGTGATGGACACTCAGTGGAGCACCAGAGCTGCGAGGAGGCGTCTCCTTCTGACAGAAGGTCATATGGTTTCCACACCTGGAGTGACTGTCAGACTGACACAGGTCACCATTTCTCACCGATAGCTTTGACAGCAGAGTCCCCACAGTGAAAACTCTGTGGTTGGAACTAAAACCATTCACAGGTACAAACAGCAGTGGGGTGACAATCTCTCAGACATTCATCACGCATTATTCTTCACGCTGAACCCTGGGATATACCTGAATGCTGGGAGCGTGTGCACACATCTGTGAACTCCTTGTGCTTAGCAATGTAACTGGCACATGGTAGGCATTCGATAAATCTTTTTAGTAATGAGTGTGTTAAAATCCCACATAAATGATCTAGCAATTCAGAAAGTCTTATCAAATAACACATACTTTTATGACAATAATAAAGCAATTCTAGCAGGGGATAACTTTCTTTTTTACCATCGTCTGGGGTTCATGAGGAGTATCTCTGGATATTTAAAATACTCAATATCAACTTTGTTTTGCTTGCACTTAAAATAAATAGTGCAGAAAACAAATGAGTTAACTGAAGCCTTATCAAGTAATACCTAATAAAAATTTGGGGTATTACAGACATAAAATAGTTTAAAAAATAATCTTCTCACATATAAAAAAAACTTCTATTTTTAAATACGAAAAGAAAATCGTCTTATCCGGTTAACTCTCGTTATTCTCGGAGGCTGTGCTCTGTGCGGTTGCTGTGAACGCTGGAGCCCTCCCAGGGGAAAGCAGGGTTAGTTCCTGCAGGTCTCTGTTCACATCATTTGTCAGCTGATCTGCTCATCACCTGGCTTTCTGGGTGTTTGTGCTTAACGACACATTATGAAAACGTATTTAATAATTACTGCTGCTTCATTAACATAGAACTCATGCCCAACATCATTATAAATCATGCCCGAAGGGAGCTTTTCCAACCCCTGTTTTCTCCATAAAGCACATCACAGGAGCGCTCAGAAACAGTGCGTCCACACTACGCTTGCAGACCGTTTACACAGGGAAACGACCAACAAAAAGCACAACAATGCAGGAAAACATGGCATTAAGTACACTGAAAAGCTTCCTTGTGAAACAACATGAGGGTTGAAACAAGAAGGCAGAGTCTCCTTGTCTGACCTCCTTGTTTGATGGGCACACAGGGCCAGGCAAATTCTGGCCACTCTGAGCATGTCTGCAAATGACCCCCAGAGCTCTGTGAGCACTGATGGGGGAACAGAGAACCTTTAGCAAGAATGGTGAATCAAAAAATACAGAATCTTCTAATAAGGAGGACTAAATATATATAAATGAGCTCAGTTTTATAAAATTAGTGTCTGAAATAATTCATTAATGAAAAACTATATTATTTATTTTTGCATATCGAAAAAGTCAACAAGGCAATGACTTACTGTCCAAAATTTGATAAAATACTGTAAATCTGTAGCAGCAATAAAAAGGCAGTACAGCAGGGAATACGCCAAGAAAAGGAGGAAAAATTTATAATTTGAAAATCCAACACAATTGTTCACCCTGTTGACAAAACAAAAACATTTTCAATGAGTTTTACATTTCAACATAGGTATACATATGTCCGACCCTAACACAGTGTTTGGTTTCCTATCATTTAAAGTGTATTGGCATTTGTTAAGTGTATTTCATAAGATTTCTTGACACATACAAACATCAATAAAATCCGTTTCACTAAAAAGGAATTCTATGTTTAGGTTTTTCAAATTGATATGTCATACTGCTTTAATCAATCATGAACCATGTAACTAGACAGTTGACCTTTGAACAACACAGGTTTGAACTGCATGCATCCATTTATGCACAGATTTTTTTTTTTTTTCAATAAATATACAGTCAGCTTTCTGTATCCCCAGGTTTCCTATCCATGGACTCAACCAACCGTGGACTGAAAACAGTATTTCCAATATACGTGACTAGGAACCCACAGATGCGAATGGCCGACCTCATGCTTCGTCCTGTGCTGTTTTTTATAATGGACTTCAGCATCCATGGAGTTTGGCATCTGCGGGCATCCAATCCCCTGTGGATGCCAAAGGACAACTGATGTTTTGGGGAGTCAAAAGTTATTTGTGGATTTTTGACTGGGTGGGGTTCAGCACCCCTAACCCTTACATTGTTCAAGAACCAACTGTATTTCATGTCCAGATATACAAATAAGCCCATGCCCAGAAGCACTGGACTTGTAAGAAACCTAATACAGGTAGGCAGATAAGAGGAATGAACTAAGCTCTTTTCCTGTGTTACCTTTAGGTTTGATTTCCAAATGGGACTGAGTCATTTAAAATCTTTCCCATTTCCCCAAATCAGATGAAATCTCTTCACCGACTACTCCTTGCACGCCCTCAGCATACCACCGAGGCACCCAGATTGTCGGAAAATATTACATGGGAGGTTTAAGAAACAGGACTGGGCCCTGGCCGGTTTGGCTCAGCGGTTAGAGCGTCAGACTGCGGTCCGGAGAGACCCGGGTTCGGTTCCCGCTAGGGGCACGTACTTCGGTTGCAGTTTGTTCCCGGCCCTGGTTGGTCGTGCGGTGGCAGCCACTCGATGTGTCCCTTTCACATCGATATTTCTCTCTCTCTATCTCTTCCTCTCTCTCCCTCCCACTCTATCTGTACAAAAAAAGGAAAAATGTCCTCGGGTGAGGATAAAAAAAAAAAGAAAAAGAAAAAAAAAGAAACAGGACTGGGAGCCAGACAGCCAGGGTCGAAATGCACATTTGACACTAAGTAATGTCGTGGGCCTGACACAGTGAAACAGTCTACATGAATGTCGCTTTCCTTATCTGTACAATGAGCATCTGAGACCCTTTCTGAGAGGCAGCTCTACAGTCTATGATCCCAAACATGGAGATTGGTAATCCTCAGTTCTTACTCTAAACTCATATTCGGAGGGAAGGTGAGGGTTCAAACGATTATATCAATAAACATAAATACAAATACAACTCATATTTTATTGTCACACTTTCTTTCTATCAAACTCCCCTCCCCCCACCCCGCTTTTCATCAAGACAAGGGAATTACTGGATTTCTTGTGAAAATGTGACCCAAACCCCACGTGAAACCGGCTGACCGCTTCACTAGCCGAGAGAACCCTTTGCTCACTGTACACGAAACCTGTGCATGAGACACACACAGTGTTTCCTCTGCTCAAAGTCTTTGTTCCTGCTCTAATGTTGGCCAAGTACGCTCACCTGCTGCTGACTTTGCTAATAGAGTGAAACATTTTTCTATCTAGATTAAAAGTGAAACTGTGTTCATATGAAAAATGTTTACTCAAATCCCTCATTTTTACCACCATCAAAAACATGTAAAGGCAAATGGTGACTTGGCTTATGAATACACTGGAAATTTGGCGGGGAAAAGAAAACGTTTGTATTTTCTCAAACAGTACAAGGCAACGGGAACAGCATTAGATTTCACAATTTTGGAGCTTAAGGATCTAGTTTAGGGTAAATAAACGCACAGAAAAGGCAACGACTGTGGGTGCACTTGTGTGGAAGCAGCTGTATGTGCAGCTCGAGGGGATCGGTGTGAGTGCAAACCTGGCACGAGGTTGCCTCGGATCCCAACCGAATGGGAAGGGCAGGAAATAACACCGCAACAGGTACACGCGAGCCTAGGCTCCTGCTTTTTCCTCAAGGACACAGGACATTCCCTCTGCTTACTGGGACGGCTTCAAGAGGAGAGACAAAGGCTGAGATGCCGTAAGATTTCAGACCACGTGGGTGAAGACAGTGACTTTATGGGCTGGGAGGAAGTCAGAAGGGATGGGAAAGATTGTTTCTCTGCCTACAGAAATGTCAGAGGCAGCTTTGCTAATAAATAATAGTATTTTTATAGAAAGTAAAATGATGTTGATCACAGGTTTTATAACATCTAATTTGGGTTCATTTAACTTGAGAGCCTGAGGTATTTGCCATGTCAATGCCAGAAAACACAGGAGAAAGTGGGTAAATAAAGATCAGGTATTTTAGAGTTTGAAATGTATTTTATACTTGAGGAAATATAGTCATATTTATTTAATTTTAATTTAATATTAATATTTATTTCTAATGGTGGCTAGAAAGAACACTTGCACCTTCTTGTTGAATTTAGAACCACAAGTATGTATAATCTACAAATTTTTTCATCTCAAATATTATTTGAAATTTAAAAATAAAATGGCTACTTCATTCAGCCAGCACCAGGTAAACATTAGGTCCTTGGCATCAAATCTTTTACAAATTGACCTGACTACTGCTTTCTGCAAGAAAGTCCCCAAAGCTGAGACTCGAGCTGGGACTGTGGCTGCAGCTGGGAGGCAGTATGCAGAGAAACAACACGGATGTTGAGGGCACTGCAGTCCGTTCATGCACCTTCTGCCACATTGCCACTCACAGGTGCGAGTGACAACAGATATGTAAGTGTGCCACCTGACCCAGGTGTGCAGGTGTGCAACCCGACCCAGTGGTGCAGAGGTCAACGCTCAACCACTGAGCCACACCTGCCAGGCTGAACCTTCTTTAAAAGCTCTGCAGTCTCATATCTGTTCCCCTCCCCTGCTCAATAGGTCTGTCAAAATTGGAAAGATTGTCAAATTTTGCTATCAGTTTCTTGAATTAATTAGAAAGATTGCTATCATATTTTCTATGTTTGTAATTTTTGTGAATACGGCAAGGACATAGCAAGCTTTATAAGTATGGACTAATGTGGGATTAACCCTAACCGTTTCCACCTCGTCACAATCCTTATTATTCTAAGCTAGAAAAATCAAGGTCAACTCTGTGCCCCTGCTTTCTTGGCCACTCTGCTAAATTCCGTCTAGAATACACCTGTCTAGACAGACAGGTGTCTTACTGTGGGATTCCCCTAAAGCAGGCCCTGAGACGAGAACGTGGATACAGTTTCTTTGAAACAGGAAGGGAGAAAACTTAAAAACGCATGTGTTCTTATCCAGTCCCTCGCTGGCTGGGTGGTCTCGGAAGCAGCCCTGCCACCTCTGACTGCCGGGCTTGTGAGCTGAGCAAACTCCCCAGGCAGAAGGGAGCCCTCAGGCACGGGGGCAAGGAAACAGGTGTCCCGGGTGGGGAGCTGTCAGTGGGCGTGGGAACTGCCCCCTGCAGGTGCAGTGGGCTCAGGTGGGTCATGGGGAGATGGGGCACACTGACAACACGTGCTGTGGGAGGGTCAACGAAGAATGAGGAGGATCAAGGCTGCTTCTACTTGAAGCTGTGGGGGGAACTACTTGCTGAGAATGAAAACAGAATGAATGAAATGGAGGAAAGAATGAGGAAAGCAAAAGAATGAACACAATGAAAATTAATACGAAATGGAGATTATTACTGAGATCTTTTTGAGAACACCATTCTCACAGCAGTTAAGGAGCCTTCGCATGTTAAAGGAGAAGGTCTGCACGGACAAAGGGAAAAGGCATCCAGGGAGGGCTACAGAGGACAGCACCCGACATCCCCTACTGCTCCTGCAGCCAAGACCGCCATTCCCTGTGTGTATATGCTTGCAGTGCCACCCCGAAAGAGAAGGCTTGTGACATAATCCTGCTTCATGTCCAGAGCCAACCTGCTGGCAACCTAGGTGTGACTGTTAAAGGTACATGCACACTGGGATGAGAAATGATAGGGAAAGGTAGAAAAATCAACCTTCGTTAATTAGATCTTTCAAATAATCTATAAAAACACCTAATTTCCTGACTTAGAAATATTTTTTTTAAATATTAATGAATTCTAAGTGGAAACCCTCATTTCAACATATATGTGTATTTGCATATTTGCTATTCTACTCCTTAATGCCAAGTTCAATGTAAAATAAATTGTTAAAGCTTTAGGTGAATTGATTATTAGAAACTTCCAGGGAGGTGCTGTGTTCATATGTACATTTTGGTGTAATGTCTGGGAAGTATTTTAGAATTTCTGTTTCAGCATAGAAACACTTGTTCTGAGCAAATATGAGAAATTAACTTAAAAATGATTAGCTATTGGTTTTAAAATTAATTCATGGAAATTCTTCTGAATGGACTCTTGAATTAATTAAACAATATCAGAAATTAAATCTGAAAGTACCTCCTAGATCAGCTAAGGCAAGATTTCATTTACAAAAAGATTTCAATAGATAAATTATTCCATTTATTAAGTTATAAGGAACAGAGACTTGTTTAAGCAGAGCCAGACTTACCATGGGCAATGATGATCCATCTTCAAAATACATCTAAAAGAAACCATACATATACAAACTCAACACCCCATAAAAATTTAGTTCCATTAAATTTTATATATAATTTCAAAAGAGTTGTGGCAAGTAAAATATTGCAAAATTATTTACTTATCTAAAAATTGAATAATAAGAAGGGGTGGGGACTGGGTGGAGGTGGGTAAAGGGGAGAAGTGGGGAATATCTGTAATAGTGTCAACAATAAATTAAATAAATTAGCTAATTAATTTTTAAAATTGAATACTAGCAAAAGTCCTCGTCTAAAATAAAGATGATAGCCAATTTCAGTTATGATACAATAACAGAACTTTCAATACAAAATATAACATGCTTTAACATCTAAAAACAAGGCAGTGTGTTAATATAAAATTATCTTATGCTAAAGGAAGTACAAAGTGTCAACAGATACATAGGAAGTCTGGATAAAACTTTTCCTTTAATTTGAATCCTTAAGCCAAGCAGTACTGTTCTTGTGGTTATACTGAGTATGTAATAGCATCTGACTGTCAGAAAGCCAAATGAATTATCTCATAAAGATAGGAAAGAGTCACAGAAGAAATATTTACTAACTCAAACCAGCGAAGTCTGAGCTACTAAAAATCATGCCCTTCCTTCATGTCAGTGTGAGTCTGGGGTAAAAGGGACAACTGATTTGGCCCCAAACCATACTTGTTATCAGTGCAAGTGATCAGCCCAGTTATATTTCATAAATAAAGGTGTGAGTAAAGAGAAAAGGAAATAATCTGGCAAACAGTGAAAAAAAGAAACCTATTCAATACAAAGACTACTGGCAGGTAAACATGTTAGAAATAAGAGGTTTCGTACTTGTCACAGACGGAACAGTGATGGCAGCGATCGGGTTTGACAAGTTGGCATCGGTCACAGTATCGGATTGCTAGAAAAAAGAACTCCGCTTAGCCTTCGACTGAACAGTGCGCTGAATGGGATTAAATGACTCTCAGCATCTACTCAAATTTAAATTCTAAAAAACATACCAAATTTAAGTTTGGCAAAAATGAGATAGTTGACTCTGTTTCAATACAAACATGGAAGGCCTTGCCTGTCTCGGTTCTCTGGAGAGGTTTCCCAAGGACAGGGAATCTGTTGGGGAACTGTTCCTGGGGCACCCGCCATTGCCAGTGGCTACCACAGGCTTACCAAGGGAGCAAGTATGTCCCTTTCCACCCGAGCACACAGAATGTCTCTCTCAAAGAGCCAACCGTTTCCTGCACCCGCCAGGATAACCAGGCGAGGATACAACCACGCTTTAGAAATGTGTGAATAAACTCTCTCTGTTGCTTACACTGGAGAAGACCTCACATCTTCTGTTGAGTGGGGTACAAGCTTATGAATGAGTATTGGAAGAAACACTTCCAATAAGAATTTCAATTCTTGCCCTGGCCAGTTTTGCTCAGTGGTTAGAGCGTTGGGCTGAGGACCAAAAGAAAAAGGTCTCAAGTTCGATTCCTGGTCAAGGGCACATACGTGGGTTGCAGGTTCGATCCCTGGACCTGGTCAGGGTTGTGTGGGAGGCAACCAATTGATGTGTCTCTCTCACACTGGTGTTTCTCTCTCTCCCTCCCTCCATTCCACTCAATCTAACAATCAATGGAGGAATATCCTCAGGTGAGGATTAACAACAACAAAAGGATTTCGGCTCTTGTCACTGAAGAGCTGACCCTAAGGCACACATCAACGACAAGGACGAACGGCTGATCTGAAGAGGTTTCAGTCCACAGGCACCCCCAGGAGGCAAGCAGGCTACCAAAACCACAGGAAGCAGTTATGAAGTGGACAGTCCTGTAGGATCATAAAACCAAACTAACAAATGTAAAATTTGGAAAAAATGCTTGCCATAAATAATTACCAAGGTTATGTTCGTTAATGTTATAATCTCTGAAAAAGGAAACAGTTGCTATACACTAAGACCAAGACCAGTTTTTCTTAAAGACAATCAGGCCTAAATAGAGCGGTTTTCAATACTGAAATAAGCTCTTCATCACCCCCCCACAACCTCCTTTCTCAGAATTGCAGGGACAAATGGCATGGCTGGCTGCCCAGTCCCGAGTGACAAGTCCCACGGGCGCATTCCCAGCGGTGCTGTAAGGTCTCGCTGGCTCATGCAAAGTATTCAAGTGCACGGCGGTGCTGTCCAGAGAAACCGAATGTGAGCCACCTGTGTACTTTTAAATTCTCTAGGAGCTACCTTAAAAGACTGAAAAGAAACAGGAGAAATTAAGCTTAATGATACTTTTTATTTTACCTAATATATCCAGAATAGTACTCTCAGATATAATCAATATAAAAATATTAATAACATTTCATGGTTTTTCATACTAACTCTTTGAACCCTATTATGTGCTTGACACACTCACAGTTACATTCTAAGTGCTCAGAGCCACAGGGACTAGCAGCTCCTTCATGCGCAGCACCGTCTAAAGTCACCACATTTCTAGGTGACGTCTGATGGGCAAGGCTAGGCGCTCTCCTGATGGTGAGTATCTCTACTCTAAAGTACGCTAGGGAAAAAACTTTCAAATCAAAGTGGGCAGTAACCTACGGGAAATCAAAACAATGTAAAATTAAGTTCATGGAGTCACAACCAGGTATGCAGAATAGGTGTACAGTCAGCTGTGACTTGGTTGAGATCTCTGTGCCCAGTGTCATTCACATTCCCACTGTGTTTTATGAAACCGTGCAGTAAAGACCTAACAGCAATCCGAGACACAGCGTGATGCTTCTCAGTGAGGGTTTGGCGGTTTCAAGCAGATATCTACATTCTCCCTCAGTCACCACAAGCACCGTGCACGGCCCTGGCTATCGACCTCTACCTCCAGACATGGTCCTGGTATAGATGGGAAGGTCTTTGGCTGCTCGCCTGAGAACCTCCTGATGGGCTTCTCCCCTGGGCTCTCTCTCCAGCGATTCTTTCTCTGCATAAGAGAGGTGGAACTGGGGAACAGAGTTCAATTTTCATCAGTATTTTCAAAGAAATGATCACATAGTGATCTACTAACTCAGAAACAGGTATTTCTAAAACATTAATAGCATGCAGTATATAAATTCAGAGAGGTAATAGAGTTTGAAATGTGGGCCAGCCTGCTGACCTCATAGGTTATTAATTTACGCATCCAGAAAATAGAATAATACCCACTTTCTCCACTGTTTGTGAAACTCAAGAGGAACAGAGTACGTAAAGGTACTTTATAAACTGTAGAGTTCTATCCAAATATTAGTTATATTAATAGATAAAATGGCAAAAGAAACAAATTTGGCTCAATGGCTTAATTTTTCAATTAGATATCATTAGGAACAAAAATAGAAACAAATCTACCAAGCAAGTTTTCTCATTGGAGTTTTAAATTAGGAATAATTATTACATGAATTCTAACACAGCAGACTGATCATTAATTTTACTTCTTATACTGCCAATTTGGCCCAACCAATTAAAAACACTTATTTGAGAAAAAGAAAAGTATTTGGGCTTCAATATGAGGATAATAAAAAAACAGTTTTAAAAATCTGTGAACCTCTATGAAAGTCTATTTGAACTTCCTTACTTTCTGGGACCATAAGATGCTCCCGGCTCACCTGGAACATTTCCTGTTCTAGTTCTAGAATCAGCTGTTTCTCCAAGGAACCCTCCTTTTTACTAAAGAATGGTATCAGAAACCAAGATCTGGGTTCCAATAGATTTCAGATCAAAGGAGAGTGTAATTTTAAAAGGACATACAAATTAAGAAAAAAACTGAAATCAAATAACAAATAAACAGAAAACTCAAATTTCTCTTTTTGTTAGTTGTTTTTCACTTAGAACAAAAAACAAACATATAACCGCACAGGTACTTAAAATGCAGAAATTAAAACAGAACATTTTTTGCCTATGAAGTTGGCAATAGTTTCCTTAATCACAACATGCAATACCAGAGTCTGATAAAACTGGAACCACTGTATGTAAATTTCTACAATCCTTTTAGGAAATAATTTGGCGAGTGACTGCAACTTCCTTGATCTAGTGCTTCTACCTGAGAATTTATAATAAGGAAATAATCCCCAAACGGAAAATGCTCTATGTACAAACACGTTAACAACATTATTTATAATGTAAAAAGTTGGAATCAACCAGAAAATCCAAGTTAGAATAAGACTGAGTAAATTTTTAGGTTTCAGTGAGAAAAATGAAAATAAGTCAACGATGGACTACCATGTGAAAAAATTAACTAGAAAGAAATTCAGAATGTAAAATGAATTAGTGGGATGCAATGTTTTTTTTCCTTAGGCTAATCTTCATTTCTAAATGTCATTAAATTTATTTATATTATTTGTACAGGGGTGAGCAAAAGTAGGTTTACAGTTGCACTGTGACATTCTTAGCGTAAATAAAGCCGGTCTAATAATTATAACCTGCATGTCTTTTTCCATGTGAACCACTGTAAATCTTCTTTGCCTACCCTATATATTAGGGAAAAAAATCTTACCAATTGAAAAGTCAGTTTAGCAATCTTGCTATGAAAAAAGTATAGTATTTTAATTCCTGTGTTCCAGATTTCTTATATTCTCTCTCAATAGTGTGAAAAATATTAGTATTATTTTCTCAAATTCCTCTTCTCTTACTTTTTTAGACACATTTTTTCAAAGATTTTTAGCCCATGAGAGCACTTTTTGTCAACTGAAGTCCAGGACACTCATTTTACAAGTGAGGGGCTTCTGGTTGCTAATCAATTAGAAAATTAGCCCAAGATCTTAGATTTTATTAATGGAATAACTTAAGATTCTTCACCTACATGCAAGGGCTCCTTCTCTCACAATAGTGGTCTCCAAAATCTTTTACTCATATATTCCTATCGATTAATAATGAGTTGAGACCACACTGTCAATATATGCATATTGTTTATTTATTTACTATTAGTGACTATGTTAGGTGCCTTAGATGTGAAACTTCAAAAAGGAAGAAACACGAAAAGGACAGTATATAGGCAGAGGTTTTGCTATTTTCCTACACGCTCCGTTGATGTCCTGAGCACACCGCCCGTGGTGCCCACTGTCCGTGACAGTGACAGAAACAGCCTCGATGGTCAGAGGGCTTTGGCTTAAATGTCAGCCTCGACCACACACCTGCAGTCGATGCCTTAGGACATTAGCCGGTGTTCGGAGCTACTGCTATATCTGTAAAATGATCATAAATAGTATCTCTCTCATACAGTTATAAGAATCAAACAAGGCAAACGTTGTGTTTTGTGGAAAAGTCATCCCACGAAGCCTGGGACAGCTGTAACTCCACTGTGTCAATCCCAGCTGCTCCACTGAAACTGTTATTTCTTCTGCATTTTGTATCACTTCATTTTCCCACTGTATCCAACCACCTTATCAAACCTTCCCTGTTCCTCAAACCTCATCAACCCAACTCCCTCATCATAGCCGATCACCTCACACATAATTGGAGGGAGAAATCAGAAGTCATTTCAACTTCCTGCCAAAGCTATAAACACAAACTTGCCTCCGTACACATAACTTCTCTACTCTCAATTATTTAACAAATATTTGCTGAGTGTCTTTTGTGGGTAGATCCTGCTTTAATACTGGCAACGAATTAGCGAACAAAGCAGATAAAGTGCGTGCCATTTTAGAGCTTATATTCTAAGGATGCTATAAAAATAAATATGGAATGTGTCATTCAATGATATGTTACGGAGAAAAATATAGTAAGGGCTGGCTTATAGGGATGCCAGGGGTATCAGGGTTTTGCTATTTTATGCGGAGCGGTCATGGAAAACTTCAAAGATAAGGTGGCACTTGAATAGAGACAGTGACAGGAAGACAGTGAGGGGCCTGGGCACACAAGTCAAAAACAGACAGCAGGTCTCAAGGCTCCTGAAGGAGGCACATGCTCAGCACGTTGCGGGAACAGCAAAGAGGCCGCGGTGACTGACGCAGCATTAGAGAGCAGAGGGGGTCAGACGTGGGGTGGGCCTGCCATGCGCAGCCTTTTTGGCCACAGGAGGAAACTGGGATGCACTAGGAGTGGGCTCGGGTATCACAGGGAGGCCCGAGAAGAGGATGATATGATCTGTCTTGTTTTTGAGAGAATGGCTCTGGCTACTGGGCTACAAATACACAGAGAAGGCGAGTACAGGCCAGGCGACCTGCAGACCAGCGGTGCAGCAGACGGAGACAGGGCCCGGGGCCTGGACGGAGGGACAAGGAGGGGACAGGAGCCTGCGCTGAGTTCTCTGAGGGTCTGGCTTCCAGAACATGCCCACTGACTGGATGTGGGACTGAGAGAAGAGGCGCCAAGGATGACGCCAAGGTATTCTGAACAGCTGCACGGATGGAGTGGCCACCACTAGGAAAGGAAACTGTAGAAATGGAGGGTGAGGGGCGTGTGTGGGAAACCAGGTGCTGGCTTTCAGGTAAGTGGATTTGAAATTCCTATTAGATGTCAAATAAGTAGCTGTAAACGAGTCTGGAGTTTAGAAGAGAGGACCGAACCAATGGTATTAATTTGAAAGCTACAGCAATGAATGAGACAATATAAAAAGCCATCATGTAGATAAATAAGAAAGCGGTCCAGAGACTGAGCTCTGGGATAATCCAATGCTTAGAGGCTTGGGAGATAATGAGGACCCACCGAGGGAAACCAAGAAGGAATTGCCAGCACAGATAAAAATAGAATTATTTGGCCCGGCCAGTGTGGCTTTGTGGTTGAGCGTCAACCCATGCACCAAGAGGTTGCCAGTTCAATTCCTGGTCCGGACACATGCCCAGGTTGTGGGCCAAATCCCCAGTCAGGGGCATGCAGGAGGCAGCCAATCAATGTTCTTTTTCATCGATGTTTCTATCTCTCTCTCCCTCTCCCTTCCTCTCTAAAATCAATAAAGAAAAAAAAATTTTTTTTAAATAGAATTATTTGGGTAAGAAAGGTGATAAGAACATTCTAGAAAGAAAATAATGTCATGATGCACACAGGAAGCACGTAATTAAGAGCTACGGGGGTATAAAGTGGCAAGTCGGAAGCTCAGACGAGTACTATTGTCAGACCAAGAACATTGGCCTTCACCCTGTGGGATTTGGAGAGTCTCTGAGTAGATACAAGAAGTCAAGTGAGAGTATTATTTGCTTTTAGATGGATCACCCCAGCTTCAGGGTGGAGGATGAATTTTTGCAGGGTTCTGGGAAGGGAATGTCAGCAAGACCGAAAACAGTGACACTGTGCAGGAGAAGACCACAATGTCTCAGACAAAAGAGAGGATTGATACCCTGTATTAAGTCTATGCTTTTAAAAGAAGGAAGGGAGGGAGGGAGGGAGGGAGGGAGGGAGGGAGGGAGGGAGGGAGGGAGGGAGGGAGGGAGGGAGGGGTCGGGTCTAACTAAGAAATACTGGAAGTAGAAACATCAGCAGAGTTTGGACGCTGGCAGAGGGCTGAGGAAGCCAGAGGACGCGAGGGAGCAAGGCTGCCAAGCTTCTGGTCTGAATGATGAGGTGGATGTCAGGGGCATGAACTGGCTTAAGAAATGGATGAGTCACAGTCTGGAGAAGGAGCGGGTGGTGAATTCTGTTTCTGATGTGTTATATTAGAGGTGTCAGTGGAATGATCAAGAAGCTATGTTTGTCAGGGAGATTATGTTTGAAATTCATGGGAGAGGTCAGAAGTAAAAATACATTTGGAAATTTTCAACACAGAGGTCACAGATAAGGTCATAGTCATCAACACAGTAGATGAGATCACCTACGATAGGTAGGAGTCAGCATTTTCCTTCAAACCTACAACTGAGGCCAGGATGGGGTTAAGAGAGACAATAGAAAAAAGGTAAATATGGTAGGAGGGAAGAAAAAGAGGTAGGAAAAGAACAATCAGTAGATAGTAGGAGGAAAAAAGGCCGTATCTAACACATTCAAGGCCAAGAACACCATTAATTCTGTGCAAATGCTATGGTTTTGTTTTTGATACCCTTTTCTAGGTCAGATAGCATATTTATTGTCCTTTTGACCACAGCTGCATTCCAAACACGTTACTTCAGGAAACAATTTACAGTGATGCTCAGATTTTTTAAGGTTAGCCTACTAAAACCACACTATTATTACTGGAACAAAGTTGATTTCTATTCAACAAACATATACTGGACAAAGTGCCAAGGATATAAAAATGACGAAGACACAATCCTTTGCTCCAAGGTTATTAACCAGGGTTAAAGACCCAGAAACGAATAGCCAGAATGATCTTTTTGAAATGCATATCTGATCATATCACTTTCCTTAAAAGATTCTGTGGCTGAGACTGCTAGTTGACCCCCAATATCCACTCTTACCTTCTTCTAACATGGTTAACATGACCATCAAGAATGAAGACTGCACTCCCAGCCTTCTGTGCAAATAGATTATGGCTATAAAACTAAGTTCTAAATATAAGTGGAAATGCCACCAGCAACTTCCAATCAGTGTCCCTAAAGTGTCACTTCTACTCCTCTTTCCTACTTTTTCTGGCCTGTTGGCTGGAATGTAGACATAATGGCTGGAACCAGAGCAGCTATATTAGCCAAGAGGTGACTTGGGACTGGAGGCTACACATATCAGAGCAACAAAATAGAAGCCTGAATACCTGACAGCTGTGGCACAGCTGTAGACTTTGAATATAGAGTTTAAATAATTATTTTGTTGTTTTGTGGCTAATAGCCAACTAACACACTATTAGTATGATAATTATAATAGAAGCATGTCTACCTTCAGCTACATCTACCTATGTATCTATCAATCCATCCACCCATCCACCTTGATATCTAACTCCAAAGTAGAAATAGAACACATAATTTATTAACATTGGAAATATAATACTCATCCAGTGCAAAAATATTATTTACCAAGTGAAAATTCAAGTATTGACTAATAGACACATTAATATTTTTAAAAATTATTATACTCAATAAGTTTGCAACATTAATAAAAAGACATAAAATTCATTCTTTAGACATCAGAATTATTGGTTTCCAACTTTAGCATGACTTTACTATTATTTTAACTTACTTCTTTTGAAGGATTCATTGGTAATGTAAAGATAGTTTTCCAATACGACCAGACAAACATTGCAAAAAGTAGATGATAAGCAATCAGGCAAACAACTAAAGTGAGAGAAACATAATTAACACTGTAATATGCAAACTGATATTCACAAACAATCTGTTCTAAAATGCCAAAATTGCCAGTGATAATAAATTCATTTTATTTTGAATTTTTATTACTGTAAATAAGTTCACTTATACCATACTAGAATAGGCACAACTCAACGAATTTTTATACCTAAAGTCAAGAGTTAAAAAAACAAACAAACCCTAATGATGCATACTTAGATCTACGGCCATGATTAGCACCCTCCCATCTGTAGACAGGCCCATCTATTGGCAAAATGGCTCACAGGGACCTTTCCTAAACGATAAAAGTGAGCAGTTATGCCTGCGTCTCTAAATAATAAACATAGCATCAAACAAGTGTCAAAACATTCAGGCTTTGCCCTGGCCGGTTTGGCTCAGCGGTTGGAGCGTCGGCCTGCGGTACAAAGAGACCCGGGTTCGGTTCCCGCTAAGGGCACGAACCTCGGTTGCAGTTTGTCCCCGGCCCTGGTTGGTCGGGCGGGTGGCAGCCACTCGATGTGTCCCTTCATATCAATGTTTTTCTCTCTCCCTCCTGCTCTATCTGAACAAAAAATGGAAAAATGTCCTCAGGTGAGGATAAAAAAAAACAAACAACAACAAAAAAAACCATTCAGGCTTTAAGAACTCTGCTTCACGGACAAAGAATAGCAAAAGCAGCTCCTGTTGAGAAGCTGTTTGCTTACTTGCTCAGATCCAGTCAAATCTGGTGGCCCTCACTATTTTAATGACAAAGCGTTTAAACAGAGAACCATCTGCATAAAGAGAGATGTCTTCCCATGGCAGTTCAAGTGTCTTATTTACCACGTGGGACAACTATTCAGAAAAGCATTCTGATACTTTTTTCAGGTTAATATACATAAACACACTTTGTGTGGTGGTTTATTTTTAAAGTACTATGCCAGTATAAAATACTAGTTTTGTATACAGTGATAATGATTAATTCTGAAATATACATTAATATATAACAAATCTGTAAACGACAGTTGAATAAAATATGCTAATTTAAAATATAGCATATTTGGTACATGGGCTGCAATTTTAACTTTTTAAAAGAATGATGATACTCATCCTTACAGGATCATTAAAAAGTTACATTACCCACTGAGGCACTTGCATCAGTGTCAGATAACGAGGGCCAATGATATTTTCCCTGAATACTGTAGCTGACACAGGTACGGGGTAAAAGAGGAAATGGTTGGTATGCTTGTATCTTGAAGCCACGAGAACCTCTGGCACATTGATGGCCATTTGGGGGCAGAGTTCTCTGCCAGGGTCTGAGAGATTTCAGTCTGAGGACCAAGCAAATGGGAAGTCTTTAATCCCATTTTGCTTCCAAATTCGTAAGAAGAATTGATTTATCCCAACCAAATCTAAATGCATTCCATTTGTTTTTTCAAACTATTTTTAAGATTTTATATCTAAAACAATAACAGAACATATTTTACCTTGTTCTCCAATGTTTTCCATGGACACTATAGAAATAAACAGACAAGAGAGAGATTAGGAAGCAGGTTATATGAAGGATCTGGCAACAAGGGCCTGGCAGAGACATGGGCCCTACGGTAGGTTCATCACTGGACTCCCTTCAAACCGACATTCTTCAGATATCTGTCCGCCTCTGTCCCGAGGGGAGGCGAGCCCTGTGGGAGAGGGTGGACAGGGGGACGCGGTCAGCCTGGTCTCCACCGCACTGCAGGCCTGGACCCCGCACAGAAAACACCTGCCGAACTTGCCCCTTGTGCGTCTTCCTCCTACAGTGATGGCTGGTTTCTCAGTCCCCTTCCCAACTACGAGTTCAGAGAAAAGCATTGTCCCCAGGTCATTCCACTTCCAGAGACAGTTTATTGTTGCTGATAAGCTGGCAATCACCTAATCAGGGCTCCAAAATGAAAAAAAAAGTCGTGTCCACGCCACTCACTCTTTTCCCGATTTCTGTAAGTACAAATTCTTGTGCCCAATGACTAATTGCTCCCTACCTACAAGGAGGGGCTCAGGCCCCATGCCAGAGAAGCTGCCACCCCTTAGGGGCTACTGTCAATATCCCAAGGTGGCAGGCAGAGAGCAGGGGACCGCAGGGCTGAGACAAGGGGCCAGTGCCCTGAGTAGCCAGCAGCGCCTCAGCTTCGGCTGTCTGCTGGCTGCGCCCCCCGCTGGTCCTCCTCCATTCGAGCTGAAGTCTGCTGGCGTTCCGTCTGTCTCAGTCGTAGCAGACTTGACCTTGCTGACACGTATTTCTGTTCCTATCTGGCTTTTGACGGGTACGGTATTCCAGGTCTCAGTCCTAGAACATATAGTTTCACTGTCTTAAGAAGCACTGGAATCAGAGGGTCATGTTGTGAGAGATTTTTAAGACTACCTGATCCAACAATAAAAATAAAGTTAAAAAAAGGAAAGAAAACATATTTCATAAGAAAAATTAAAATAAATTTTTTTTCTCATCCAACTAACCTCCTTTCCGAAAGAGCTACTGAATGCCAGTTTGGGCATTTTCAGCAGGGCCCACAGTTGGGAGAGGAGCCCCTTCCAGTAGAAGACTGCTCCAAGCCTGATCCTAAGACTACTGTGTGCTGAGTGAGCCTCTTTGTGGTTTCTACCTATGGTTTCTGTGCTTCCAACCTGTAGCAATAAACAGAAAATCTACGTGACAGATCTTCACATACTTAAAGTTGTGTCCCCCTTGAAAATGTTCTCTTTTAGCCCAAATAATACAGGACTTCCAGATCTCTCACCAACCCTGACACAGCTCCTTTCTAGGCTCTCACTTTCCTTAAACATCCTGATCCCCAGAATGCGACAGGCAGACACAGATGACCTCTAGACGTACAATGGCCTGTGGCACAGGTTTGCTTATAAATCAGAGGCCACAGGGTCAGAGTGCACGTTCTCAGAACCCCTGCAGTGGTTGGTCCGAAGACTGGAAGGGCCCTACGCAAGCCTGTCTGTTACATCTGACCCTACAGCTCCCTCTACGCACATCTCTCTAGGCCTGACTCCCGTCTTCTAAGGTGTTCCAAAACTGACGACAGCTCTTCCTTGGATCCACATTTTCAATCCATCAGTGAAGCTAATCTAAGGAATTGGAAAAGCAATCTGACTCCATTTGCACATGTATGTATGAATGACCCTTAATGACCATTCCAGAGTTGGTGGTGTTCTAAAGGAAATGTATTTGCTAACCCATGACTCTAGCTGTCAGAATTGAAAAAGGTAAATCAGAAGGAAAAAGCACAGTTAGTATGAACTGATCATGTTTTTGACCTGGACCACTACTATATTGGCTGATATGTGCCCAAAGACATGGTTTTAAAGGCTATTGGCGTCACTTCCCAGCTCATTTTTCTCTAAATGTACTTCAAAATCCATAGATCCGCTATTGTTTTCAATTAAACAAATTCCAATAACATTTATAGAGTGAAATGTGAAGGTTCAAAAGCGCCGTATCAATCACACTCCCACACAGGTTCTGAGCCTGTCCAGTGTCCCATAAATGTAAAATAAATCTTGAACTTTTGTCAACATCTTAGGTAACAATAAAAATCATTGCTTTAGGCCTTAAGGGAGTGGCAAGAAATATTCAAAGTGATGAAAAGCCAGGACCTACACCAAGATTACTCTATCCTGCAAAGCTATCCTTTAAAATTGAGGGACATATACAGAGTTTCCCAGACAAGAAAAAGCTAAAGGAATTCATCACCACCAAACCAGGATTATAAGAAATATTGAAGGGTCTTCTTGAAGAAGAAGAACAAAAATATGAACAATAAAATAGCAATAAATACATATCTATCAACAACTGAATCTACACACAAAATGTACAAGCAGAACAGAAACAGACTCATAGATACAGAGAACATTTTGTTGGTTGCCAGATGGGAGGGGGGTTGGGGGAAGGGATGAAAAAGATGAAGGAATTAAGAAGTACAAATTGGTTGTTAGACTGATAAACCTCAAGGATTGGGGGGGGGGGGGTTGGGAAGAGATAAACCAAAGAACTTCTATGCATATATACATAACCAATGGACACAGACAATAGTGTGGGGAAGGCAGGAGGGGGCGGGAGCGGGAGGAGGAGGTCAAGGGGGGAAAAACAGGGAGCACCTGTAATACTTCCAACAATAAAGATAAGTTTTAAAAACTAAAAAAAAAAAAATCACTGCTTTAGTATTGATTTCCTTGATTACTGGTGAAGGTTAGAAATATTTTAAAAATATAATTATTGTGTTTTTCTATCTCTTCTGAGTGAATTACCACTTTCCCATTACTTCACATCTTTTATTTACCGAGAAAGCCTTTGCTATATTCTGGACAGTAATCCCATGTCTGTTATGTACGTTGCAAGTGAAGTTGTATATAACTACCTTCAAATTATTTAATATATATTAGCAAAATCTATGGTTTATCACTGATTAAATAACAGTATCAAAATTTTCAGGTTGACCTATTTCACGAACAGATACATGGTCTCTACTTTTGCAAGACTGAGGACATTAATGCTCTCTCAAACATGTATACCTAAGTAGTAGGTCAATGATTCAACTTATAATTTTCAGTTTAGCAGACTTGTCAATTTCAACAGTTCCTTTCTCATTGTAAAAACACATCAAATACAATGTTATTTTCAAATGCAAATATTTTTGTTCTTAAATGGCAGTTTAAGAAAAAGATTGCAATTTACTCCTGGGGATGGGAGCACTGCATTATCACCCGAGATGTTTACTAGTCGTACATCTGGTAACCATCTAAATACATATAATAGTAACACTGTGGGTCACTATTTTAATATTCATCTCAAAAATTTATTTGCCTAGCCCTGGCCGGTTTGGCTCAGCGGTTAGAGCGTCGGCCCGCGAACCAGAGAGGCCTGGGTTCGGTTCCCGCTAAGGGCACATAACCTCAGTTGCAGTTTGTCCTCGGCCCCGGTTGGGGTAATGTGGGTGACAACCACTCAATGTGTCTCTCTCACATCGATGTTTCTCTCTTTCTCTCTCTCTTCCCTGCTCTATCTGAAGATAAATGCAAAAATGTCCTCGGATGAGGATAAAAAAAAATTAAAAAAAAAAAAAAAGAGTTAAAGATTTCTAACTTTCCAATATACTTCTAGAATTTAAAACTCTTCCCTGACCAGTTCTAGTGCAGCTAGAAAACAAGGACTCTGACTTGTTAAGATCCTAAGGAATCACAGCATTTTCTTGGCACTGATAGTGTATAGAAAGAGTGGAAGTGGGAACGACAAATTATCACCAATTAGCAAGGACGATGCTTCTGTTAGCCAGAGCAAATGAAGGACTTTCAAGATTACACCTTGGGATCTGGAGCTATCAGGGATACAGCGAGGCTGGTAGTCTGGGTTCAGATGTTTTCTGGTTCCCCTTTCTGCCCAACCCCTCCTCCCTCATGAATCATTTCTCTAAGAAACAGAGTGGGGCATCAGAAAAGGCTGAATTGGTTTAGAACGGTTAAGAGTGATCCTTTTCTGTTGCTGTACTGATCCTTAAGAAATCCTTGTGTAAAAATAAAATAGGTAAAACCAAAATTGAAGTGTGAGACTATGAGCCAGGGTGAAAACCTCTAGTATACAAAAGAATGACAAACTGTTTCTTGATCCAACTCGGCTTGAACAACAACAAAAAACCCTAAAAATGTACACACTCCCCACCCTTACCTCGTTTGCATGAATCATCAAGCCATCATTTAATCCAGGGGTCGATACACTACCGACCTAAGTTCAAATACAGCCAGCCACCTGTTTCTGTAAATAAATTTTATTGGCACAGAGACACCCCTACTTATTTACATGGCCATTTCTGTGCTACGATGGCACAGCTGGGTGACCAAGGGAAGAGTTAGGCTGCAATGTGGGTCTGAAAGCAGTCTGCAGATAGAATCCTCTTCTTCAGGGGACCTGGGTCTTTTCTCTTAAAGCCTTCAACTGATTAGATGAAGCCCACCCACATTCTGGAAGGTACCCTGCTTAACTCAAAATCTATTGATTTAAATGTTAATTACATCTAAAAATATACCTTCCCAGTAACAACTAGACCAGTGTTTAATGAAACAACTGGCCACCACAGCCTGGACAAGTTGAATCTATAATTGTTTTATTTTGGAAATCTTTTAGAAGATATGCATTTGATCTTTTGTATCAGTTCTCAAGAAAAGTTTCTTATTTATTATAAATTAATAAATTGGAATTAGATCTAGAAAATTAACTACATTACATCTTTATGTATCTGGTAACAGGGGTGGGGACCCTCTGGCCTGTGGGCCATATAAGGCCCGAGAAATCAATACCAGCTGACATCACACGCCTCACCAAATTGGCCTGACCAAATACAGCAGGCTAATTTTTAAGTTGATAATTTTGTATGGCCCACGAACAATGTTATAAATATCCAAATGGCCCTTGCAGAAAAAAGGTTCCCCACCCTTGAGGGAAAACGATAATAATAAAATCCTTTGTCATACTCTTAAA